ACTCTTTCCTCTGTCTAGTCGCCCCACCTGGCAGACAATCTTCAAGCATTCAGCAATTCCACAACCCTGCCAAAAAATTACTTACTTAAAAGAAAAGATCATTCTATCATCTCTTCAACATATGAAAAGTAGACAATTGACTTGTTTTATGTGAAGGCTAAAGAGATGACCTAGATTCTTTTGCCTTAATAGCAGTAACGTTTAAAATGAGTAGGCTAACAGTTGACTCTATGAATGCTTCTTGTTATGAAGGTGTTGGTTTTAATGTGATTTGTTATGGAAGGATAAGTGCTATAATATTAAAATATTTATTGTTATAGCTAGAACTCAACATTCTTTAGGCAAACCCAGAGCATAGTGATTTTAGTAAGACATGAAAATCAGATCACAATAGGCCTGTGGAAAAGAAAAAGAAACAGAGTGAATCTTTAATAGCTATTCCACATCAGACCTGTAGAAATCGAGTGGCATGAGTGTTTTTTTCAGTAACCTGAAGGCAGACAGTCAAAAGAAATAAATATTCACCACCTTCTACGTGCTGGTCAAACTGCATTAGACAGGTCATATGCATATACCTCATAACACTGTTATCCAGTAAGTGACACCTCCAGTTGATGAACAGGAATAGAAGTGAACTCCCTTGACCTGGTAAAGGGCATCTATGAAAAGCCCACAGCTAACATCATACTTACTGGTGAAAGAATGGATGCTTTTCCCCTAAGATCAGGAACTGGACAACAGTGCCCACTCATGACACTTCTATTCTACATTGTTCAGAAGGTTCTAGCCAGTGCAATTAAGCAAGAAAAAAATTAAATAAATGGTATCCAGATTGGAAAGAAAGAAGTAAAGCTATCTCTATTCAAAGATGATAGAATCTTACTTACAGAAAACTTTAAAGAATCCACAATAAAACTATTAAAGCTAATAAACAAGTACAGAAAAGGTACAGAATACAAGATCAGTATACAAATATGAATTGTTTTTCTATACACTAGCAATGGAAAATATGAAAATGAAATTAAAAAAACAATTCTATTTTAAATAGCATTTAACAAGAATAAAATACGTAACTAAGGAAGTGCATGACTTGTGCACTGAAAACTACAAAATGTTTTTGAAAGAAATTAAAGAAGACCTAAATAAACAGAAGACAGTTCATGTTCAAGGACTGAAAGACCTAATATTAAGATGGCAATATTACCAAAATGATAGATCCAATAAAATTGCTATCAAAATTCCAAAAAAAAAAAATTCCAACTATCATTTTTGTAGAAATGGACAAGCTAATCCTAAAATTCATATGGAATTGCCAGCAACCCCGACTAGCCAAAACAATTTTGAAAAAGATGAAAATGCTGCAGGGCTCACACTCCCCAATTTCAAAACTTACTGCAGAAGGACAACAATCAAAAAAATTAGGATGCATGTACAGATCAATGGAATAGAATTGAGAGTCCAGAAACAAACTCATACATTCACAGTCAATTCATTTTCAACAAGGGAGTCAAGACCACTTAAAGGGAAGAGACAGGTCTTTCCAACAAATGATGCAGGGAGAACTAGAAAACCACATGCAAAAGAATGAATCTGGGCCTCTACTTCACACCATATACAAAAATTAACTCTATATGGATCAGAGATATAAAAGTAAGAACTAAAAGTATAAAACTTAGAAAACCAGGACTTCCCTGGTGGTCCAGTAGTTAAGACTCCATGCTCCCAACACAGGGGGCCTGGGGTTTGATCTCTGGTCAGGGAACTAGAGCCCGCATGCCATAACTAAAGATCCCACATGGCACAACTAAAAGATCCTGCATGCAGCAATGAAGATCCCGCACGTGGCAACGAAGATCCCGCGTGCACAACTAAGACCCGGCCTAGCCAAATAAATAAATAAATATTAAAAAAAAAAACCCAACAGCTTAGAAAAACAGAAAACTTGTGTGTAAATCTCCAGGACTTTGGGTTAGGCAATGGTTTTTAAAATATGACAGTAAAAATATAAGCAACACAAGAAGAGAGAGACTTGAGAAAAGAAATCTGGACTTCTTTAAATTTAAAACCTTTTTTCCATCAACAAATACTATCAAGAAAGTAAAAAAGACAACTTACAGAATGAAAGAAAATATGTGCAGTAACAGCTCTGATAAGGGTAGTATCCAGAATATATAAAGAACTCCTCATGACTCAACAACAAAAGGCAAACGACCCAATTTAAATATGGGCAAAAGGTTTGAATAGAGATTTTTCGAAAGAAGATATACAAATGAAAAGATGCTCAGCATCATTAGTCATTAGGGAAATCCAAATAAAACTACAATGAGATGCTACTTAACTCCGATGAGGATGACTACCAAAAAAACCCCAGGCTTTGCAGTCTCTGGTTTTCTCTCTGAGTTAGACAGGAAGACACTGGAGTGACATGACCTGACCTACTTTTAAAAGGATCATTATGGCTTCTATGTGGCAAATAGACTGTCGTGGTGACAGGGGCAGAAATATGGAGTCCAACTGGAGGTTTGGCAATAGTTCAAGTGAGAGAGGAAGGTGGTCTAGGTTAGGTCGTGGCAGTGGTAGAGACGGCAAGAAGGGGCCACATTCTGGCTATTTTGAAAGTAGATAATGATAGAATTTGCTGATATGTAGGATTATGAAGTTTGAGAGGAAGAGGAGAGTCAAGCCCCATGCCAAAGTTTGGGACAGAGAACAGAGTTGATATTTACTAAAATGAGGAACACCACAGAAAGATCAGAGTTGAGAAAACTCAAGGATATGTTCTTAGAATTAAGTTTAAGATTCCTATTAAATATTTAAGAGGAGTTCCAGACGATAATGGAGTCTGGAGTTCAATGCAGAGGATCGGGTGGGAAATATTAATCAAAGTCATTTACATAGAAATGGTACTTACCAGCCATACGAATGATTAAGATCATCTCATATGGCACTGTCGGATAGAACCTTCTACAATGACAGAAATCATCAGCGTGGAGATACCTGTGCTTCCCGAAGTGGTAGCCACTAGCCACATGTGGCTACTGAACACTTGAAATGTAGCTGGTATCTACAACACTGGACTGCACAGATCTAATGAATGACTGTAGGTGAAGCAGACAAGAACTCTGAGATCTGAGCCCTGGAATACTCTCTAGAGCTTAAAGGTCTGGAAATGGAGATTGAGACAAAGTAGCCAGTTGTGGTAGGTGGACAACCAAGAGAGTAGTGCCCAAGAAGTGAGAGAGGAGTGTTTCACAAAGGAGGAAGTGATTAACTGTGCCAAAAAGTCACTGTGCAGTTGAACTGAATGAGATCTAAGAAGAACCATGGAATCTGGAGATGTGAAAGTAACTGGTGATCACTAATGAACATAAACACTATACCAGGTTCTCTGTTAGTTGATGGTTTGCAGATCTGTTAAATTTTAAAAATTTAAGTGACAAACTTCTTTATATCATTATAGTCATTAGATAGGCTGACTCAACAAAAGTTGATCATAATGCTAATTATTCTTATATTTCTGTTGAGCCCTTCTGTTTTTTTCTGCAATATTGAACATAAGTTTCAAAGATTAGGGTGAGACCGAGAAAGAGGTCAGTTAAAGGAGTGCAGTCAGAGAAATAAGCTAGAACATAAAATATTTTTATTAGTAATCTACACAAAGACAGATCATTTGAAGAAAATGTGGCATTAATTCAATTAGGAACAAGGAAAGTAAGAGGAGTGAATGGTATAAAAATATACGGAGTTCTTTCCAGCACAGCTGTTGTTACTTCTGAAATGTTCTTTGGCATCAGTTCTATAATCACATATTTTAAAATATTTAAAGTGCTTGTTGTTGAAATGCCACTTACCAAACTGTGCACATCTCCTTCACTGAGGGTGAGATCCCGCTTAGTGATGAGATGGTTCCGGTCACCTTGCCCACCAATTGTGTCATTCTTTTCAGTTGTTTGCGAATTTGAGATCTAGGATTACATAAATAAACTGGTGGTAAATAACAATGGAAAATATTTTGCACTGACATTTTGGCATAAACTGTTATACATGATTAAAATATAGTGACTAAAAATTTGGTATGACAGAAAATTCACCACTTAATATATGGCTAAAACTAAGCAAAGGAAATAAAGATTAGAGTCCTTAATATGCGGGAAAAAAATTACCTCTACCTAGCCATCATTTTCTCCCCTTGCAATAGCTAGAGGGGAAACTGATAAAATACTTAGAAACAGCTTGAAATTTCACAGTGTATATCTGTGATGTATGTCAATCATGAGTATACATTTTTTGCTTTGTTTTCTTAACTTTCCTTACTCCGACCGTGAATAGCTTCTTATCCAAACATATGTGCTAGGACGGAGAAGACTATATCCAAATAGAATTCCGTAAAATGACATTTTTCTAGGTCAAGTCAAAAGAGCCAAGAGTAAAATGTTATATCTTATCCCAAAGACAAAAATTTCAACATCCAAACACCCTTGACACATATTACATGTGGATAAACCACTCTGCGATAAAACCAAAGTCAAATTGGGTCACTTAAGAATATCTCCGGATGGGAATTCCCTGGCGGTCCAGTGGTTAGGACTCCACGCTTTCACTGCCGAGAGCGTGAGTTCAATCCCTGGTCAGGGAACTAAGAACCCACAAGCTGCGAGACACGGCCAAAAAAAAACCAAAGAGTATCTCCGGAGGCTCACTAAACACTACATAAATAAATGGTTTACTAGGACTTCACAGAATTCATCCTTACTCATTACACAAATAAACAATTTAATTCATAGTATACTGGTTATGAACTAAAATATTTTCACAGAATAGATTTATTATTAAAACAATTGTTTATTTCATGCATTTCTTTTATAGATTTAGAAAGAAAAGCAATAAAATATCATCAAAATAAATAGCTGCTATTAAGTACATTACCTTAATTCTCAAAGGGTTGATCTCCATATCTGAAGTGCAGTTCATTGGCCCATCAATATCATATTGAAGGATGTACAACAAAGTGTTATTGTTATATTTGTAAGGCCACTGAAGATTTAGCATTGCCTTGCTGAATGAACTCGGACCGTTATTTCTCAGCTAATGAGGAGAAGGAAATGTAAATACTTAGGGCAAAAATCTATTCTATAATCCTTCCCCTACAGCAACTTTAGGAATCATTAAGCAACAGGATTTGAATAACAGTTTGAATAAGAGTTTCCATAGTTACTCTAATATTACAACATGATCATTATTATGCAAAAGAATCAAACTCAACATCTGCCTCTGCGTAGGGCAGTATAAATAAGGATGAATATATAAACAAAAGAGGAAAACATAAAAAAGTTACTGATAAGTGACATAGAAAATTTTCTTCCTACAGAACCAAAATTTTACTCAGTGACCTATTCCTTTTACTCAAGTAGAACTAACTGGTTTTATTTTATTATTAAAATAATAATAATAAAATATTACTTTTAAGTTAATTTTTATTATTATTTTTTTACTAATTGGTTTTAAACAACAATTTGTATAAACAGCTTTCTTTTACTACTGGAAGCTACTTGTCTAATAAAAATGAACTTAAGAATAGGGAAAAAATTCAAAGAAATCTCTGGTACATACTTAAACTATGCAGAGTTTACGTAAAAGTTAAATAGACTTTTTTTTTAAAAAAGAGCCTATCTATTCCTCTCTTTGTTGGCTGTCTACCAGGTATCAGTTAAATCCAACAGCTGCAAACCTCGTAGATGTGCTGAACAACTGGCCCAACGTCTTCTTCAGTCTCAGGGTTCTCCTTGTGCTCCCAATTTGCAATCGGAAGAAAGATATGATCAGGACTTGAGACTCTAAACAATGACCAAAGAAAACCTACCATGAATATCAAAATGATATGGTCAGTTCATTTTCAAAGTATCTAGTGTCCAAATGAATAAAATCAGAATTAATTTTAAAAAAAACACCATACATTTAACAGACAAAACAAAAACAGAAACTATACTTGTATGTGTACATGCACAGATGGACATACAAACTACTCTTTATTGAATCTAATGTAACAGGTGAATTGATAACAGGTAAACTTTTGCATAAAAGTTCAATAAATTTATTTTGTGCCACTTTTGCCATGTCTGGTTTATTTCCAAAGGATTATCAAATAAATATTTGGGGCTTTGGAATACACCCAGGACCTTCTTCTTTCTACAGAAGCTACAGCTCTAGTAAAACGACCCCGAAACATGGAGTGTCTACTATCCAAAAGAAGCTAGGGGCCCTAGGACTTACTTTTAAGAAGTAACTACTTTTAAAGTAGTTTAAATCATGAGAATGAGATACTCAACTGGGTAATCATACTGACCCTCTTATCTCAACAGCAGCTAAAACAGCAAGGTCAACTTTGTAAGATACAACTGGGCTTACTTTGTCAAAAAGGTTGGAGCTGAAAAAGAAAAGAATATATTTAGGACTGACTTGAGCATAATCGTCATCAATAGCATACAGAGGCAAATGCAGTGAAACTAAAAGTAAACAAATTAAAAGCAGTAAAGAAATGACAAACTACAAATCAAAATAATTATTTTCATTAGCATTTAATTCCAAGAAGATGATTTTTAGTTAACTTTTAGTTTTGTTTTACAAACTCAAAAGCAACATAAATTATTCTTATGATGTAAATATTGATTTTAAAATGCTATAATTAAGTACTAAAATTTTAGTCTATCCTATTCCAGAATATTTAAGTATACTGCATAATATATTTATAACAAATAATATTTCTTCCATAGTTATTATAAACGGAAAAAAGTTGTTTTCATACCTTTGGATTTGTAAGTCAAATTTCACGGAAGTATCCATCTCTGATTGCTGGTGCACACTGAAACGAAGACCAGCTAGGAGCTGAAGGAGGCGGGAAAGATGGCAGTGTTAGTTAGAACAGTGTCAAATTAGTGAAATTCCAAATCCACCGTCCAAAGAAAAAAGAATAGGGTTTCTCTGAACTTACAATAAAACTGAAAGTACTCTAGCAAAGGTAATTAAGTCTGATCTTCTATCAAATCTCTATTATTTCAGATACTTGGGCCAATCCATAATGGAGCCTGTTTAACAATGATTAACCATAATTATATCTCCTTATAATATTAACTAATTCTCCCCTTATTATATTAACTAATATTAACTTTCTGAAAAATACAAGAGGAATTGCTTGTTGACCCAATGACAGTATAGTAGTTATGCACAATAATTTGGTGACAGGAAGCTAACACATGAACTTGTGTTAATGGAGCAGGAAGGAAGAAACAGATGGCTTACAAGAGTGAGAGAACTTGGCTAAAAAGGACAGATGTAGGGCCAGAAGCAGAATTTCTCCACGTCACCCACAACTCCATCAATAACAAACATCTTAACTTCTGCAGGAGAAAAATTGTTATTTTAAAGAAAAAACTGAGCTACAAGGTAAGGGAAAGCAGCCTTCTTGGGGGGGGGTCACATAAATGACATCTAAAAATGGCCCTTCTAGGGGACCTTGTGAAACTGCCTCCCACTTTACAAAGCTTGGAGCCAGCCACAAGAATCAACCTGGAATTATCTATACTGAGTGAGCAGTGAGTGAGAAAGATAGAGAGAACGAGAATATAAGAAAATAAAAAGCATGCTCACTTGTTAATGAAACATTGTAGTTAAACACTGTGTTAAATACATGTGAAAAAATGCAACTCTGGGTACTTTGTTCAAGCCCTTTTCCCTAAGAGGCCTTATATCTAGAAATAATAATGACTTTTAATGGAAAATATATTTAAAGAAATATGAAATATTTATTTTTATTGAAATATATTTGACATATAACACTGTAAATTTAAGGTTGATTTGATACATTTATACACTGTTATATGATTGCCACTGTGGCAATAATTGCACCTCTGTCACATTACATAATTATCATTTCCTTTTTCTGGCTGGAATTATTAAGACCTAGTCTCTTGCAAGTTTGATGATTATAATACATTACTGTTGTCTATAATCACTATGCTGCACATTAGAGCTTTAGACTTACTTGCAAGTCTGTACCCTTAAACAACATCTAATAGGAGAGATGTTGTTTATATGGGTAGATATGGAATATTCAGCCCCATATTATCATAGATCTTCAAATTACCAATATCTATGTGCTTATTAAATTAAATTCTATTGAAAAGGTAACATGAAATAGACTGCTGTTTTGTTTTGTTTTTTCCTTGATAATGGGAATTCTACAAGGTATATTTTTGTTTCCTTTTTAGAGGATTTGGGAAGCAACCCACTGAGTGCTTCTTCTCAAGCTCCTGGGGTCCCTTCTCCACCCCCTGAAGGGCAGCCTGATCCAACCACTGTGCTCTTTGATCCTACTGGGATGACCATATAGGGTTCAAGTTAATGAGATCATTCTAACTCACTTAAGAATGACAGTCTTGGTATTTGTCAGAGTAGCTTTGAGGATGCATTAAAGTGTTAGTTTAAAATATCAAAGTTACAATCTCAGTCCTTAGTTTCAACCATGTTCTCATCCATTTACCAAATTGAAGGTGAAGAGCAGCTTACTGAATACAGGTAATAACACAACCCATTACTTTAATATCTTAATCAAAACTAAACTCTGATAATCATTACATTCTAAATCAAAGCCAGTTTACACACTATTTTGAAGTGCTTATAAAAAAATTACTATGGACAAACCCACAGAAAAATATGCTATTCTCTATAAAAGAAAAAAAAAAAATCCATTTAATTAAAATGCCTTACTTGAGTTCCAGCCTTCATTGGGTTTCCAAGGTCACATACCACCTGGCGGGTTTGGTTTTCTGTCTTAAAGGCACAGGAAAGTCTTGCTAAAGCCTTTGATAGACAAAGAAAAAGGATTGAAAGGAAAATAAATTAATGACCAAAAAAATGCAGAAGCCATAATAAGACTTTAAAGTTCCTAGACAATATCATGCAGTTGGATGATTAGGTTTCTGGTTTTACAAAGCAAATGCATCTATTTGAGCAATGAGGGGTACAGGCGAAAGCAGAATTGTGTACAATTACCACATATAAAGTCAAAGTGTTTCTGAACGATCCCTAGAGGACATAGATACATAACCATATTACCTCTGAAAAATTATTTGATGGCCAGGCTTAGACACTTTATCCATCTGACCCTGTTTCAGGCACTTAGCTAGCAGTTTTGTAAATGTCCTATCAATGCATTATGCAAAGTTATTAGTCTTGAAAGGAATTATGTAAGATAGGCACTCTATTGTCTAGCAATTTAGCCTTAGGTAGAATGGCTAAGCTTGTACTACACTAAATAGGGGAGCAGCTCATTAATGTTAATGTGAACTATGAGTGCATTTCGATTTTTAAAGAGGCAGCTTGCTTACTTCACTGTTGCGGACCACCCCGATGAAATCGGCCTGCGGTGGGATGGAAACGATGAGCTCAGCTTCATAGGCACCTTCCCCCTGATTCTGAGCCTTAACAATCAAGGTCAGAGGGTTGTCGTCCCCAATATAGATCTTCTTTTGATCACTACGAGTTAATACAAAAGTAGACAATGAAAAAAGACTGCTCGGCGAGAGCATGACTATTCAAAGCACTGACACGTTCAACAGTGTCTCGAGATTTTTTTAAGACTACGCTACAGCTCAACAGAAAACTGGAAATAGCATACTGGGTGCAAATACAATGCTTCTCCCAGTAAAAGAACACTGATGCCTTTAGTATATCACTATCACTCATATGTATTATGGAAGTAATTTTATATCCCCTTGTACTTATTAATCCCCTGATTTTTTTTCTAAAGGCTGAATGAATCATTTGTCATGATACTCACAATATTCGCTATAATTTGTACATCATATAAAATGGTAATGAGTCCTTTAGTTAAGAGTATCTTTAAGAGGATATAATGTTACTTTGTGAAACTACTCCATGCTGAATAGGAAGAGATCTGCTAACCTAGGTAGCCAGTGAAAACATAGCACCTATTTTTTTAAAGCTCAATATTTATAGCTTTACTGAAAACCATGCATTATCCTCCAACATAACTAATTCTCATTACTATTACTTTAATAGAAAAATGTGTTCTTTCATTTAAATTTCTTATTATACAGTCTATAATTTGGAGCAAAACTTACCTATCCACAGAAACTTCCAGTTTGGGTTTACAGACATTGTCTTCACCACAGTCAAGCAGAATATGAGCCTAGAAAAAAATTTTATTTTTCTCTACATGAATAAATACCAGTACAGGTCACATATGCAGTGTATACCAATACATGTGTGGATGTATATGAATATACGTTTATGCACACATGTATTTATTTATATATACTCTACTTGTATATATACCTGAATTTAAAAGGGATCAGGGCTGCCTGTTTTTAAATAGGTCAGTCTTAGCTAGTAAGAATGAAAAGGAAGAAAAAGATTTATAGGGTATAATACGATAGTTGGAACCTTTTAGTTCTACCTCAAATTAAGCTGTTACGATTTTGGAATGAAGTATAGAAGAGAAAGTAATATTCAAGAAATGAGGGTTCTACTTTACTCAGCTGCTGCTAGCTAAGTTGTGTGACCTTAGAGGGACCAAGAGGGATCTTAAAGGGAAAAAACAGTGACAGGATTTCTTAAAAAACAAAACAAAACAAAACAAACACTGTATGTTTCCAAGTCACAAGGGAGGCACAGCTCCCCAGAATAGAATTGTATGGTAGAGATCTTAACTGTCAGTTTAATTGGGATGAAACCCAACAGTACATGTAAACGAATTCAATGACCTAGATGTAAACAGCTGCTATGCACTTCAAGAAGATGGGGGGAAAGGCCAGGACCAGTAGAAGAAACTTGAGGTGACTCCATAAGTGATACCAGATACAATCACTGCTAATTTAGTTCATGAGCAAAGAACGGATTTAATGATATGTGATATGGTGTGTATTAAAAGTCCCAGTTAGAATGATGAGTAGCAGAAGTTTGGAATGAGTATTATGAAATATTTTTTTCAACATCTTTGTTGGAGTATAATTGCTTTACAATGGTGTGTTAGTTTCTGCTGTATAACAAAGAGAATCAGCTATACATAAACATATATCCCCATATCTCCTCCCTCTGTGTCTCCCTCCCACCCTCCCTATCCCACCCCTCTAGGTGAATACAAATCACTGAGCTTTTGTGTATATAAGTCAATACAACTCTCTCACTTCCTCCCAGCTTACCCTTTATTATGAAATATTAATAAACTATGGTAAAGGGATATTTGACTAACTACCATTCTACAATGAAGAGAGAGGATTAAACTGGCATTGGTGCAGCTATAGCCTTAAAATATGCTGTCAGGAAAGATAGTTTCAGAGATGGAAAAGACAAAGCAATGTCTTCCATTCACAGAGAACTAAATCTCTACAGTTACCTACTTAATATCTTGTACAGAGTAAGAACTTAATACATATTTGAATGAATAAATGGAGGGCAGGAAAAACAAAACTCTTTCTGCAGGAAGCATGAAATCTCTAACTCCAAAGGATTAGGGTACAGAAAGGGAAACTCAAAAGCTGCCCTGTCTGATATAGTAGCCACTAGTGAGCCACATGTGGCTTTTGAGCACTTGAAATGTATCTAACGCCACTGGGGAATTGAGTTTTATATTTCATTTAATATTAATTTAAATTTAAAAACTGATACTTGATTCTGCTAATGAAAAACTTTTAGTATGTTTAGAACAACTTGGCTATGTGAATCTACTTTTTCAATTATAAATTATATGAGTTCTAAATACAGAAAAAATATTTCTGATGAAGCTTTAGCAACTGGATTGAGATGTGTTGTAAGTAATACACTCTGGATTTTGAAGACCGTAAAATACAGAACTTAAAAATTTTCACAGAAAATATGACTATTTGGAAATATAGTCTTAAAGAAGAAATTAAGTTAAAATGACATCATTAGGGTGGGCCCTAATCCAATATGACTGGCGCTTTATAAGGAGATCAGGACATAGACACAGAGGGGAAACGATGTGAAGACACAGGGAGGAGATGACCACCTACAAGCCAATGGGAGAGGCCTCAGAGGAAACCAACCCTGCAGAAACCTTCATCTCAGACTTTAAGCCTCCAGAATTGTGAGAAAATAAATTTCTATTATTTAAGCCACCCATTCTGTAGTATTTTGTTATGGCAGTCCTAGCAAACTAATACAGATATATTATTAAAATTAATGTCACCAGTTTTCTATGTTTTTTTTTAATGTTACTGACCAGTATATTTAAAATTACAAATGTGGCTAACATTATATTTCTAACAGACAGCAGTACTTCGTAGAGAGAGTACAGTAAAAAAAGTTTGTAATATGACGAGTGAAATAAAGGGCCATTTTAGAGAGAAGTAAATAGGAATGATAGGATAGGTAATTAACATCGAAATGAGAGTACATAATGAAGCTAAGAATACAGGAAAAAAGATGCCTAAGAGTAGGTAATGTCGGCGCTGAAACAAATGTAGAACACAAAGGAAACAAAGATTCAAATAATGAAGAAAGTGGGGTGGGGACAGGGAAGAAAACCAGATATTACTGAAGTTATTATTCCCTCAAAGTGGTTTCAAAAGTTAACCAATTTGATTAGCTGGCTTTAAACTGTACTGGTGTTAAAGAGATCGGTGATCTCAGTAAACTAAACAAAAGTAATGTTAACACTAATAAATAGTTTCCAAAAAATTCTAAAATTATAAAGAGAAAATAATCATACTCCTATAACAAAACACATAATGTAAAAGGACAAGCAACAATTAACTTTTCTAAAAACTGTAAAATTGAATGACAGACTCTAAGAGGCTCAGCTGTTCATTATTAAATTATTAATCAATATAATATTGTAAATCCCCTAAAAATAAAAAATGTAAGAAATATGAACACAGAACTATGTTTTAAAGTTCTATATTAATGGGTAGTAGAAAGTAGCACGTATACTATTCATGTGCAAAATGAAATATAAAATAAATTGTTAAAATATAAAAAGACTTTAAAAAATTTTAATTTGCCTTATGCTGCTGTCATATATATATAGTCTTCTCAAATTACGAAAAAAAATTAGTTTATGAGATCTTAGCAAGTTAGACAAAGAAGTAACAACCTAAATTTAGGGTAAAGCATTCTATGAGAGCAGAAATATTAATCTAAAAATATGAATATGTAATAAAAGAGGAAAAAATAGGAAATACAATAACATTTGAATGTATGGGTTTTACATAGGATTTTCTAAAAATATTTTAATATAGTCTTTATAAAATTTTATGTTGCTATATTTGATTTTATGAAAAGAATGATTTATGTACTATATATGCATATATGTGTGTACATATACTATTTTTTACAATTAAAATATAAATCAAAGGTAATATAAATAAACTTGTTTAGCAAAATATAAAATACTATGTAAGTAAATTGGCATTTTGTTGTTTTCCTTGAATTATTTTACTCTTTTATGTGTATGAAATGCGACCCTGTCTTCCTCTGCATACCTCTAAGTTCTGAGTGGCTTTAAATATCTTTGACCTGAAAATCCAGATTCCTTCTCCTGACTTCTGTGACTAAAACCCAACATTATAAAAGCAATCCCTTATACTACTTAACAATATGAACTGTAAGACTTTAAAAAGACAAAAATATAAAATTAATGATAAATTAATAAAGTACAGTACCTGTCGACTAATATTGGCAGGAGTGAATTGGTTAAGAATAGGCTGCAAGCCTGTCGCATCAGCAGCTGTTCTATAATCCAACCGATACTCCATAAAAATAGTAATTGGAGTGAGTTTGTCTCTAAATTCAGATTCATCCTAAAAATGGAAAAGCTCTGAATTAATGATGACATCAAGCTATCTGGAGAAATCCATAAGTACACAATACAAAGCCAGCTGTATTCACCCCTTGATAAAATTCTACAAAAACTCTTTGAAAAACTACACTTAAATAAGAATAGAATATCCAAAAAGAAGATTATCATTATCCAGTGAGAACACTTAATCAACTTTGTTTTATAATGTAATACTTGATTCACACAAAAATATATGAGGTATGTTAATAAAATGAGCACTCAAATACACACCCAATATAAATAATAACTAGAACATAACCTATATTGCTAAAGCTACCCACAGGCTCTTTTCTCTTTTCATCCCTTTGTCTTCCTTCCAGAGGTAACCATTCCCTTGTTTGCTTTCAGCAGTTTTACTCTAGTGTGTGTGTCCTTGAACAATATGTTCTTCAGATTGCTTTTCCTGTTTATTTTAAAATGAGACCATACGTATTCTTCTGTCATTTGCTCTCTGTTCAACACTTTTTAAGATTCATTCATGCTGTTACATGTAGCGAGGTTAATTTTTACTGTTGAGTAATACTTATCATATAATAATTTATTTACAATTTATTTATCAATTCTTCTGTCAAAGATTATTTGGACTGCTTTGGGTTTTTGGTTTGTTTTTGCTATTACAAAAAAAATGTTGTAATGTATTGTTCTACATAGTGGCAAGGAGATTTGTCAGCTCTGTAAGATACAATATTATTTTCCAAATTCTTCATATTGGCAATTTACACTGCCACGAGCAATGTGTAAGAATTCTGATTAACTCACATCTTGACCAAGCAATAGGTACTGGCAGACTTTGAGTGTAAAATGGTATTTCTTCATAATTGGAACGAGGTATTTGTCTTGTTTGCTCACATCATGAATAGTTATTCAATTTCATCAAAAACCTTTCCCTGCACTTAAGTAAGATGGCCACGTTTTCAGTCTATTCATATGTAAAGTTACATTTCTATACTTCCAATGTTAACCCAGCCTAGGATACACCCAAGTTGGTCTGTTTTTTAATCTTTTTTATAAACTTCTAGGATTTAGTTTGCTTATATTGGGTTAGTAATTTTACATCTATGTCTTTGTATAACACTGTCATGAATTCTCCTTGCTTATACTAGCCTCGGTCAGTGTGGGTATCAGTTACACTACCTTCACAGAATAAGCTGGAAATATATTTTATTTTTCTATTCTAAGAGTTTAATATTGGAATGTCTCATTCTTGACAGTTTGGTAGATATTGCCTATAAAACCATCTAGGTCTTGTGATTCCTTTATGTAAAGATTTTTAACTGCCAGTTCAATTTTTTTTAATGGCTTATATGGTTAAATGAATTGTTCGGGTTCTTCAAATGACAGCTGTGTTGTGTTTTTCTAAGAATGTCTGCTTTCTCTCAGTTTTTCTATGTCTTAGCACAAGGTTATTCATAATATTTTATTAATTCCTCCATTATCTATAGGTACATCCTTTTTCAATTCCTATTTTTGTAAAGGCTTTTGGGGGTTTGTTTTTCCTTCATCTTTTTCTCAATCTTTCATTTAAATTAAATAGCATTTAAAGCTATACATTTACCTTTACATTCTGCTTCTGGGATATCCTACACATTTTGATATGTAGTATTTTCATTATAATTTACTTCTAAGTAAATTCCTAATATGATCTCTTTTTTGATCCATACGTTACTTAAAAATCACAATTCCTAATTCCCAATTTATCTTTGCTGTTGATTTCTAAAAATTGCACTGTAATCAGATAGCATATTTTCCATGATTCCAATTATTTCAGATTTGTTCAGACTTCCTTTATATGTATATATGGGGAAATTTTATATTCTCTAATTGTTGGATGTCAAGTTCTATATAGGTATATAGGTCTACTAAATCGAGCTTGTTAATTATGTTGAGTCTTCTAAATCTTAACTGATGTTTTTGCCTTTTTTTTTGGCCATACCATGGGGCATGCAGGATCTTAGTTCCCCGACCAGGGATCGAACCTGCGCCCCATGCAGTGGAAGCATGAAGTGTTAACCACTGGACCACCAGAGAAGTCCTGATGTTTTCTTTAAAAAAAAATTTCATCCTTTATTTCATTAAACATTTTATACACACATATTTTGTAACTGATAATTCTAACATCTCAAGCCTTTGCAGGACTAAGATTTATTTGCTGTGTCTTCTAATGGCTTATTTCCTGGTGTGTTTAGTACTTTTTTAAAAAATGAATTCCTATTTGATTGAACTTAACCTATGGGACCCATACTAGATTGCTCCAGTGAGACCTTGTATTTACTCTTGCAGGAGTCAGGGCACATCTTTGTTTTGGGAACACTTTAGCCTTGTGCAAGACTCTGGACCTAATGCAGGAAGCTCAGGTCAGACCCCTGGTTTGCAGAAGGCCCCAGGCAAGCCTGAACCCCTGTGCTGGTGTCTGCAAGTACAGCTCACCCTCCGCCCAGGCTTCATCCCTCCCCCCCTAGCCATCCTGTCTCCCACACTTGCTTACAACTCATAAGTCAGGTTTAGCTAATGTAGTTTTTTCATTGATTGCTTATGGTGGGGGGTGGGAGGGTGGGGTGGATTTCTTTTACTGTCTTGAGAGTCCAGCAATATTTAAGACATATGTTTGTCATAATTTATTCAGTAGCACTGTTGTGGAAAGGCCACATGCAATATCCAGTCTGACAAGTGTAGAAGTCCATTACTCAAGTTTGACTCTTTAAAAAGCCCAATTTCCTCAAATGCATTTTTCTGTCTTCTTTTTGATTTACTACCAAAAAAATTTACAGAAAGTGAAAATCATTTAGATGAAAAGAAAAAATAATAAGTAGAAAGAAGAGATAATGGATAATCTCTTACCCGCAGATATGCTATTAGTTCTTCACATTGCATCTGTCCCCCCCTTGAGATGGTCATGTTCTTGGAGTGACCCGGGGACCTGTTATGGAGAAATAGTGCTCGTCGAATTGCTCCTTTTTGCTTGAGTTTATCCAAAAGAAGCTCCACCTGGAAGTCTATACAAACCAAAGGATTTATAACCAACATAATCTTTATGGACACCTATCTGTCCTAAATATCTCAAGTTTTCATTTAAACAGAGATATTTATCCCTTAAGAAGTAATCTGCTTCTAACTCATTAAAAATGTCTATACATTGCAGTGAGATGACAACATATTAATTCTGAATAAATATTTAATAATTAAATAACTGATCCAACTATCCCCAAATTAATGTCATCTATTAAACTGAGACAATAGATAATGATGGTAATAAAACAACTATCAGATAGAGGGGAAATTTTTTCTTTTAATTTAAGCTGAGAGGAGGAAGTTCAGAAATAAAATATATGAATTAAGACTTTTATCACTAATGCAGGTAGCAGGACTCTTGCTGACTGTGATTAAGAAATGTTTACTAATATGCACCCATACCCCATACCATTACATTCACCATTATGATGAATGAGCAGTTTGCATCACTTGCAACTCCTACTTCTAATGAAGCTATTGTATCAAACTATCAGGTAAATATGTCCCTCATGAAGCAAATAACCAAATATAGCTGACTGGGTCAAGAATCATCTTAAAATGAATGTGCAGCCAGTGAACAGTCTGAAGCACAGTTGCTAGACTACTGCCTTCTAACATCAGTTCTTCTTTAAATAGTTTCTTCAAAGGAGATAAGAATGCAGATCTTTAAAACAACAAATCTCTTTCTAAGTTTCTCTAAATGTTGAACTTCATGTCAAATCTGAGTGAAAAGCCAGGGTCATTTTGCTTCTCGTTCTGTTCCACCCACCCTGTGAGAATAGCAAGCTCCTGCTTCCGGCCTCTTGAAATTGCCATTTCGCCTGTGCAAAATACTCCTCCAGACATCGCTTAGCTCCTTCATTTCCTTCAGGTCTTTACTGAAAAGTTACCTTCCAGAGAAACCCGTTCTTGCTACTCTATGTGAACTTTCACGCACAAACACACCCCCAACAGATTCAGTCCTCTATCCGGAGCTTTTTTTTATTCCTTAGCACATATACCGACAAATCTCCACAACAGTTACTTAACTCTCCTACCTTGCTCTCAGAATCACATAAACCACTTTTTGGAATGGAAGAGTCAAGTTAGAATTTGCTGTGTGGGCTAAATTTAGTGGTCTAACTTTTTTTCCTTCTCTCTATTTCTAAACCACCTCTACTCTGGAGATTACTGGGGCTTCTCTAAGACATAAAGTATAAACTTTTCAGTAGGTCATTGACTTATAAACAATGATACTTATTTCTCCTAGAGCTCATTTGTCTCATAATGATAACTGTTTAACTTTGTGAAGGCCATATTTACCACTAATTGTTCACAATGTCAATAAATGTATTATTTCTGAATTGGCTTAAGAGTTGCCAAACAAAATAATTATGTTGCAATATTAAATGTCTTTAAGCATAAACGTTCAAATAAAAAAGCAATAACAACTATTTGAATGGCTATTCAAATGTCCTAAAACATTTTTTAAGTGCTATGTATGCAGCATCATTAAAATAATATAATTTTTCCATAGAACACTTACTAAGTTTCGTGGGAAGTGCTCCTTTGCCATCTGCCTTTAAGCAGAACCTGACATTAAAACTGTAGAAAAATAAAAAATACATACAAATCCCATAATCCAGGTTAGACATTTTTCCCATTTATATAGCATTATTTATTTATTTGTTTGTTTGTTTATTTATTTATCTTGGAATTGGAATTACAATTCGAACTTTAAAATACCAAAAAGTCTCATCACAATGCCTACAATTAATTTTTTTAAAAAGACAGTAAAAGAGACTATCTATGCCTCTCTTATTCTCTTATTTATTATTTGAAAAACTCACTATAGGTGACATAATCTGATATTACCATGTAACAGTTTCCCCCTTTCCCCCCAAAATACACAAAGTAGATGAAATTATAGTATATTGCTTAAAAAATTAAATATTTACACTATGCCAGTTTAGGATACCTAATACACTCTAATTCTTCATAATAACCTACTAGATAAGCTATCATCCCTATATTACAGATTGAAAACTGAGGCTTGGATGGTATTAATTTTCCCATTTTCATGGAACACATATTGAACAGAATTCGAATACAAACTCTGGTCTGTACGATTCTAAAACTTTTGTTGTTACACTTTTGTTACACTGATAATATTTATTTTTTGTTGTTGTTGTTACACTTTTGTTACACTGATAATATTTATTTAGCTAGACATTTTTTTATTATCACCCAAATCTCACATTTCGTTTTTTTAATCTCATATTTCTAATACTTAGTTCACATTGTGAAGGCTTATATCTTTCTTTATGTCTTAATATTATTTTTAAAACATGAAGCTATACAGAATAATCTAATTTATCCTTCAGTAATCTAGGCATGTTTCCTTTCATGGAAAGGAATGAGACAAAAAAAGAGAGAAAGAAAAGAATTTCCTAACCTCCTGTCAAGCTTATAGAATCTGTTGGTAAATTTAAATGGGAGAAATGACAGTCCAGATTTAAAATAAATGTCTCACTTATGAAAAAGCCCCATAAAGCTCCCTTTAATTAGCAAGCTCCTCTAGAACAGTATTTTCACAATTTATTACTAGGTTATGACATCAGTTTAATGGGTGTGTCCAGCATCTTAAAAAAATGAATATGTAAAATTGAGTTAAGTATCAAGGGTAAGATTTCATGAAACTTTTGTTTTAATTACATGCATGTGTTTACTAGATTATGATGTAAAATGTATTTCATCCTACACGTCATATTCGAAAGCATATGAAAGCTACTGCTCTAGTTAGTGTATTCGAAGTCTTCACCTTGTTGCCGTAATCATAAGCACATCATCAGCAATGTGCAGCAACTTCACCAGGACACAAAGGGTGAGTGAAGGGATGAAAGTCAGTAAAACTTACAAAATCTTGAAAACAACTTCACTGCCAGTCAATGAAAACGAAGACTAAATATTACTGAATTTTTAATGCAATCCAATGAAAGAAATAAAACTTTTATTATATACATGTTTATTTAATATATTTTATTATAAACAAAATTTTGAAAAATGATTTTAATAATAATGCATAATTCAAAAACAAAATCAGAAAAAAATCTTTTTTTTAAAAAAAATATCTTTTCATTAGCTCTTCTGAAGGAAAATTTTCCCAGCTTCCAATCATTTTACCCTTCTTCTGTAAGTTCTCTCTGATTTTTCTGTGTGAGCAAGGAACATGAAGTGAACAGTGTTTCCCAAAGTGGAGTACTCATGGTGAGTTTTTTTTTTCCTTTGGCCGTGCCATGCGGCTTGCGGGATCTTAGTTCCCCGAGCAGGGATTGAACAAGGGCCCGTGGCAGTGAAAGTGCAGAGTCCTAACCACTGGACCACCAGGGAATTCCCCATGGTGAGTTTATATATGGGCCAAGACTTTTCATTATTAATTTTATGTTTACTTTGACATGTATAAGAAAGACACTGGTTTCTCTATTTTATTTTAATATGTTTTAAAGTAAATCATGAGTCAGTTTAAAGAAAAAAGCCTTAAGAAAATTATAAAGACAGGCAGAATGAAAACATAGCAAAAAATCATACAACATAGAGAAAAGTAACATACAAATAATGGAAACTTAAGAAATACTGGACTAGAGAAGAATTCAGACATGAAGCTTACAAAAATATATTTTTCTTTAGAAACTAGTAAAAGAACAAATAGAAGACCAATACACTAAAACAAACTATTTTTTTCGTACAGCTAGTCACAGATATTAAATCTGAAAAAGATCATTAGTTTTTAAAAATTAAAATCAAAATGTTCACAGTCTTGTTTAGCATTAAATATGAGTTCTAAAATCTTATTGGCTTTATTTTTGAATATATTCACTGAGCATGCATAATTTTTTAAAATTAGTTTTATACTAGTTGATAGCATATTTCTAGAGCCTTCTACATATCTTCTGTGGAACAATATTTCTATAATTCAATCTATGACAAGAAAATAGAGTGTACCCACAGAAACTGCTTTAGCAATATTTCAGCCTCCCCCTCCATTTTCAATTGTTTTTATAATGACTGAACCAATAATCACAATAATAACTATTACTAAACAAACATCCTTACCAGGAAACTTTGAGATCTGTCCCAGGCAGTGGGCAGGTTTTATTGTCTTGATTTAAAATGCTAGGATACACTTCAAGGCCAGCGTTTACAGTGATAACTGGTCTGGCCCTGGTTTAAAAGAAAAGAAAAGAAAAGAAAAAAAAAAGTTATTTAAAATGTTAGATTGATCTAAGCATTTCAGGTTCACATTCATTGCATATACAGTGTGATGTTCACCAAAGCAGTGTTTATAATAGCAAAAAGAACAGAAACAACCTAAACTTAGCATGACCAAATATTCCAGTTTGCCCAGGACTGTCTTGACTTTATCAGTGAAAGTCCCATGACCTGGTAAATCCCTCTCAGTTCCAGGCAAAGCAGGACCACTGGTCACAACCTATCTGAATGCAGCCCATTAAAGCAAGATGGTTAAACAAGTTGTGGGATATCTACCTAATGCAGTGCAATACAGTGGGGGGAAATGAGTGCTGTAAAGCCATCTGTGCTAATATGGGATGATATTAGCGAAGACATAATGAGAGGAAAAAAAACACCATGTACAAAGGATGTGTACACACACACACACATAATTTTTTAATGCACAGAATATTTCTGATAGGATATACTAATAAAACTAGTAACTGGTGTGAGAGGAAGTATATTTCTCTTATTGTATGCCCTTTTTACATTGCTTGAATTTTTACCACATGTATGTATTACTTTGTTAATAGCAATTTTAAAAACTGAAACAATAAATTAAAATACAGTTTCCAAAGTTCAGATGCACAGGTTCACGCTCTGTAAAAAATACAGCAGCCTCAAGGCAGTGTATCTGTCTCAATCATGATAAATCCTGGAATCTGTACAGACACAAGCTGCCCCGAGAAGCACAATCAAGTTGACCCATCACAAGCTCCACTACACAGTACCAGTGTTAGTTTTCCTGCCATGTATAAGCACAGTCTATAGAGGTGTAAACATCTTAATCTACTTGGGATGCTAGTTGATATTGTAAGGCACGAGGAATTGATGAAATTCAGAGAAATACTGGGAATATGTATGAAGCTGGGAAATGGAGATATGTGGATTTATACATATTGCTCTAATAAAAATATTCATTTGGGGAATCATTACATACTGCCCTTGTGGTCACAGAATGCTATGGCACAAACACCAAGTTAAGTTCTTGTCTCTTAGAGGAAAATGTAAACTCCTATAATTTTAAACTCATATAATCTAAAACACAGGAGAACATCTTTGAACATAATTTAAAGAACAAAAAGGGAAAATTCGGAATGCTTTCCTAAATTAAAAAAATCTAGGGCTTCCCTGGTGGCGCAAGTGGTTGAGAGTCTGCCTGCCGATGCAGGGGACACGGGTTCGTGCCCCGGTCCGGGAAGATCCCACATGCCGCAGAGCAGCTAGGCCCATGACCCATGGCTGCTGAGCCTGCGCGTCCGGAGCCTGTGCTCTGCAATGGGAGAGGCCACAACAGTGATTTCCCCAATGATTCTAAGATAAAGTATAAGCACGCACTGGGTCATGAAAGCCTTACAACAGGATGCCAGACAACCTTACCTATCTCACTGAACTCACTTGTCTCCCATCAGTTCAGCAGCATTCTAGTCTCCCTAAGGTTGGAAGAAGCCAAGAACAAAGAGGATGCTGGGAATATCCTTCCTATGATGTTTTGAGTTAGAATCAACCATTGAGAGGCACCATACAAGACTTGGAAGGTAAAGAGAAAAAGAGGGCATTATTCCTCAGATATTGCAAGCAGGTGCTTGGGTGGTTATGAGATCTGAAGCACCTTCTGAGTGGCTCTTGAGAATCATTCCATAGATATTCCGCACTACAGCAATCTTTATCTCCCCAAGGCCTTCCAATGAATATAAGCTTCTAATTTCCTGAATTAAACATTTCAACCTTGAAATTTGGAAAGTGCCTGAAATTTTCCTGAACAAACATTGATATACCCACCCAAGTGGACACACGCACACACACAAAAACACACCCTACGCTCCAGCCAAACCGAAATGCTTGCTGTTATTAAAATCCAGTTCATTGTTTTGATATCCATTGCTCTCTGCATGGTGCAAATTTTCCCCGACATTTCTGCCTGAAAAATTAAAAAAAAAAAAAAAAATCTATAGCTTTCTCTACTTTGGGATCTCCTTGTATCATTACTACTTGCCTGAAGCAAATCTTAAATAGAAAGAACAAATTTTATCATTACTTCAAGAAACTTAAACTGAAATTCAAACACTGGTGCTTAACTATAAAACTTTCATATAATTCATAATATTCCTATATTACCAGATATGGAAATGCTTACCTGTATAATACAGCTCTATCTACACCAAAAGCTCCTACAATTAAGTCTTAAAAGAGGAGAAAAATATGTTAATAATAATTTTTTTTAATTCACGTATCATTCCATAAAACTCTCAATGCATATAATAAAGATACAGACATAGTCTCAAAACTATTCTTCATTAAGTGGTTGTAAGACAACATCTAAAAGGCTAAAATGTATATGAAAACTTTAAATATGCTATCATCAATGGCAAACACTCATCATAAAACTAATTTTTTCATCCATCCAGGTAGACAAGAATCTTTTTAATGGATACATAGTAAAATTCAGCAACAATAAGGAAGTGTATACCACGCAAACACACAACATCCCCAAAGGAAAAAGCTTTATAGATGCCTGTGGATTTTACAGTTTCATTGTAAAATTTCTTTTTCATTTACTTATTTTGTTTCAAAAACAAAACAAAACCAAAAAAGCACAATACATATACACTTGATCCTTGAACAATATAGATCTGAACTGCGCGGGTCTAGAATTGCGCGGGTCTAGAACTGCGCGGGTCTACTTATCAGTGGACTTTTTTTCCACTGAATACATACTATAGCACTACACAACCTAAGGTTGGCTGAATCCACAGAGGTGGAACTGTGGATACAGAGGGCCGCGTGTACAGTTAGTTATATGTGGATTTTTGACTGTGCAGAAGGTTGGCATCCCTAACACTCACGTTGTTCAAGGGTCAACTGTACTTAGAATGCTTAGAATGACAGCAGATAGCATCCAAATCAACAAGAATAGAATGCATTAGTTTTTATACGTAGCTGGTACCACTGGTTCACAATTAGGAAAAAATGAAATCAGAACTCTCTCTCAGTACACCCAAGCTAAATTTGACGAAGCCCTTTCTTTCTAAGCAGAAAAGTACATGAGAAACCATAAAGACAGGTACAATGGATTACATAATAATTAAGAATTTCTTTATGCCCCAAAAGAAAACATGAAAAAACTGAGAAATATATGTAAGAGTTAAGGAGTTAAAACCCTCAATATTTAAGGAACAGCCACAAGTTAAAAAAAAATGAATGAAAGAAAAGTAAAACAACATTCCAATAGAAATGGAGAAAAAAAGATGTAGAAAGGAAATTCACAAAAGTAAATATATATATGCAAGTAAGCAAAAATGCTTATTACCCTCACTAATAATCCAAAACTGTAGATTAAAACAAAATAACATTTTCCACCTATCATATAAAGTTATTTTAAAAAGAAATAAAAGATGACCACCAGTGTGGACACAAATGTGGGAAAATAACTCACTTACTGCTGGTGAGTGCTTAAAAAAGTTGCAAAACCTTCTTTAGAGGGATTAGGATTGTAATTTGACAAGGTGTATCAACAGCCTTAAAAAAAAAAGTGCCTAATCTTTGACATAGAAATTCTAGAATTTTCTCCTAAGGAAATAATCAGAGGAATGCACCGGAATTATATATAAGCATACAAATGCCCCAAAATAAAGTTAAATAAGATATGATACAAACATTTGATAGAATGGAAAACATAAATTCATGCTTCAGAAGAATAATAATGGGGAAATATCTAATACTTTAACTGAATAAAATATGCTAATAACAGTACATAATTCTATTTTGTTAAAAAAATTGTGTGAATGCACTGGAAAAAAGGAAGCATATTGAAAGATATGCTTTGCTATATTTTCTAAAAGTTCTATAATAAATATATTACATTTATAACAAAAAATTCTTGAAATAACACTAACACAGATAAGAATCAACTTCATGTCCTGTTTCTAAAAGCACTTCAACATATTATATATTGAGCTCATTAACTGTTTCAACAGCAAAGTAATTAAATTTTCCGCATTATATTTCACTTAAAGAATATATCCGTTATGATCCTAGATCCATTAAAATATTCCAAAGCACATAAGAGCCAGAAAAAGGCCTCACTTCTTGTACCGGCACAAACCAGTGGGCAACCTTGGGCAAATTACCTTTCTCAGTCTTTTTTCTCATCCAGAAAATGACATAATAATGAGCTGAGCTACCTCATATTCCTCACCAGCCTTATTGTGAGAATTTACTGAGATAATATATTTCGTAAAAATCACGATGATTAGTCAAGTGCATAAAACTGCTAGACCATTAAAAACAAAAAGAGATGGCTGACATTTGAAAACTTAGACTGAGCTTCTGTTTATAGCTTCCACATTCTGACATTTCATTACAGACTTCAGGACAATAAAAGAACTACAAGTACGTGCTTTATATTGGAAGCTCCCAGGAAACAGAGCTGTCTGTGCTTTGTATCCCCTCAGTAACGAGAACAGTGCCTTGAGCAACGGCAAGGGCTTAAACAGTAGTTGAAATACTGAATTTAAATGATTTATAACAGAAATCAAGAGAGCAGTAACTAATACTACTTGCTATTAGGACACAAAAATCTTAAGACGCTCTTTGTATTTCTAGGAAAGCACCTGGATATCCATTCTTGTCTATATCCGTGGCTCCTTTCATTGAATAGCCGAAGCTTGGTGGCATGCTCCGAGCAGCCCACTTCCCTTCAAGGATCTGAGATGGTACCGCATTCAAGCCTGTGGGTCTTCCATTGAAAATATAAACAATTCCTTTTTTATCTTCACCCCCATATGGAGCAGCAATTGCAATATCTGAGGGGGAAAAGGAAGAGGGGAAGAGGGAGGAGAGGGAAAAGGTGAGGAAGAAAGGAGGAAAGGACAGTGGGAAGGAGGATGGCAAGGATGGAGAGAAGTCTTAGTACTCATCATTATTGCTGTGGAAAAGAGCTTAACATCTTTAGAACCCATGTATCATGTTTATCGATTCAAAGTTCAGTAGGGTACTCTTTTTTTTTTTTAAAACCAATGCCATAAAACCTTTATTTCCACTGGGATCGCATGTACAATTCTCTTCTCTTTCTGGGAAAGAACTTTTCCCATTCCCCATTCCAGGACACATCCTGGCCATTCTCTCCTCTCCCTTTGGCTGGGCTACCCCATGGGACCTAGGAGACTTCCTGCGGCCAGGAGTTGCACAGGAAGCAGAGGCAGCTGTGGTCCCATGGCACCCTCATGTGGTGATGTCCAAGATGACAACTTGCTACTCAAAGTAGGAAGCCCTCCAAGAAGGAATGAGTCCTCTGGGCAGCCAGGCTCTCTACTTCAGGCAAAGCAGCCATGCGTGGTGGCAGTAGGGTACTCTTAATTCAAAAGCAACAACCAAATTCAAGGAGATTCAAGCAAAACTGTATGGAAATGACATTAATTTGGAGCCAGATATTCCGGGTCTGACCTTGGACAAATTGCTTAACCATTCTGGACCTCAAATGCCTCATCCTTAAAATAGAGGGGAAGGGACATGTAAAAAGATTCATCTAAGGCTCATTCTAGCTCTTAAAATTCTAGTTAATTTAGTTGGGCATGGTTTTCAGGTTTTTTGAGAAGTCAACCTGACTCAGAGAGTTGAAAGTTACGACTTCATCTCTATCTTGCTCAACTTATACTGAAATGAAATAAACAAATAAAAAGTTTGAAATGCTTTAAAAACAAAACAAAACAGTACACCAAATAGTTACTATGACCTTTCCTCACTCTAGAATATATTACAAATAACTGTGCCCACTTCCCTCTATCTTTGCTGGTCCCACCCTGGACAAGCCATTCTCATTCTTTGCCTGGACCCCTAAAGCAGCCTAAGTGGCCTCCCACTTCTACTCTTGCCCCTATAATCCATTCTCTTCAAAACTGCCAAATGTTAATATCATGCTATCTTCCTTCTTAAACTCCTTATTTCCCAAAGCATTTACGTGTTACCTGGTTTGTCCATTCATCACCCCACTCCCGACCCCAAGTCTACCCTCACTCACTCTTCCTACCAATCCCGGCCCTTTTCTCTGTTTCTTAAACTCAGCAAGCTAGTCCCCATCTCTGGATTTATACTTGCTGTTCCTTCTGCCTTAACAGTTCTTGCTCCAGAGCTTTTCAAGCTTTGCTCCTTCTGTTTGTCCAAATCACAGTTCAAATGTCATCTTGTCAGAGAGGTCTTCCCTGGCCATGCTATGGAGCAATGCACTCTCCCCTCTCTATCTAGGTACTCTCTATCACGTTACCTTGCCTTTTTTTGTTTAAACCCACAGCCTTTATCACTATCCGAATTTCCCCTTTATGTGTTTACTCTATGGCTCCTCCAGAAAACATAAATTTCATGAGAGCAAGGATGTGTCCATCTTGCCTATGATAGCCCCTATGTACCTGCCATTCCAAACTGACTCTATTTACTTAATATACCCGAAATGTTTTCAGCCCCCTCAATGCTGCAACCCCTGAGACATCAAAGACACCTTGGTCACTTGTCTTTTCTTTAAGACCATCATGCCCAAGAATATCTCAAACACTGTGATGACTACATTCCAGTGTTTACTTGTTCACATTAAACTTGCTTCTACTGATGCTAAATTCCTTAAGGGCATGGATGGGCTCTAATTTATCCTCTCATTTTTAGCAGTTAGAACAGTGCTTGGCCTGCAGTAAGCACCAACTAAGAATTTGTTATCCTTAAATAAAAAGTAGTATTTAAATTATGTAAGAGTCCTTCCTTATCTTTTTCAAGTTTCAAAAGATAAATATAACTTCTAAATTGACATGTGCATTAAGCAAGTTTTAATTAAAATACAATTTTCCAACAGAATATGGCTCTACTGTTGAGAGATGGTTTTTAAAAATTCTCCTTACCTTTTCTAAACCTTTCATTATTTTGTACATTCTAATCATCTTTTCTCTTGGCTGGTATCTGTCTAGTCTGGAGAGCCCTACTTTTTCATTCATGTCATCAGTCTCTTCCTTTGATCATTTTAGTTTGTCTTTTCTGTGTTTTTTCCCTCTGCCTTTCTGGAGAAGTACTGACAAAAACTCCACATAACTGTGGAACATAATTTTATTGTTTTGTTTTCGGCAACCCTCTTGATGATACCTAGGGTTTTTCCAGTGGGTGTAAGTGGAAAGGGAGGAAAACAGCAGCAAAGACATAACAAAGAGTCAATGTCATCAGGTCCGAACAAGGAAAAGATCCAGGTTACAACTAATACTTCATTATATGTATATATAAACTATATATACACATAAACTACAAATACATATATATATATACACATATAAACTATATAAATATAGTTACATAAATAACAGCTCAGATCATTTTCTCCTGAAGACACTGTCATTCACAATCTACTCTTTGGGACAATAAGACCCCCAGGAGACACTTTGGGAGAATAAAATCATCCTCTATGGTATCTATCTCTAAAAGTAAAATCTCTTTGTAAAATCGTTGTAAAACTTCGATATTTTTTAGCTGTCATTGCTTATAATTTTTGTGTTCACAGATAATACATTTTAATAGAAATAGGGAAAACAGGATGAGATGTTGTCTGGATCCTGATATTAAAGAAACATTCTTTAAAGTGTGTGGAATATCCTCAAGACAAGGTGACAGCAAACACGTCCAGGCTCTACCAAAACACCTGGAGACAGGCCCAGCTATAGCAAAGAACTCAGATGTGTTCAAGGTAGAACATCGAATCTGGCCCTGTGTTTCCTAGGTAGTCTCTGTTATCAATAAGTAATGATTTGGTCTGTTCTATAGTATTCTTTTACAGTTCTATGTTGAACTTTATACCAGAATTCCATTTGATTTATGTTAAGTTCTCTTGGTGGTAAAAAATCTTTAAGACTATTTTAGGAAGCAAAATGTCCGCTTGAGTAGTTTTTCACTAACAATGAAAACTTCTAGGGTGAGAGATGACACTTCTAGTGTGACATAAACTACCCACAAGGCAGGAGTGGGGTCTTGAGGCCAAACAAACATTTCCCTTTTCTACTACTAACTGGGAGATTTGAGAGTCATCTGCATTTTTGAAGCTTTCATCTTAATTTATAACTTTCTTTACATTTTCAGGGGCATATCCCTATATATTGTTGATTATACAAACAAACCAACAGTTCAATTCTTCATTTTGTGACCTCTAGAAAGGTTTTTAGCAGTATTCTTTTTTTATTTTCCGGTACACGGGCCTCTCACTGTTGTGGCCTCTCCCGTTGCGGAGCACAGGCTCCGGACGCGCAGGCTCAGCGGCCATGGCTCACGGGCCCAGCCGCTCCGCGGCACGTGGGATCCTCCCGGACCGGGGCACGAACCCGCGTCCCCTGCATTGGCAGGCGGACTCTCAACCACTGCGCCACCAGGGAAGCCCAGCAGTATTCTTTTTAAAAAAAAAAACTTGGTAATTTGTAATCTATATTTCACTCTATAGTAGATACCAACTTTGATTTTTAAAGATATCTACAGCTATTAATTAAATTTTTAAATGGGACTATTATGAAACACTGAGCTTATACCTTTTTACTTGTCCCCATGAAGGGAGATATAATCTCCCTCAGAATATTCTGGACAGCCACAACAATAAAATATTAGTGGCAAATAATACCTTTGAGGGATGCATTAGGGTCAGCATTGCCTTGACAATATGCCTGGGAGCATTTTTTACACTTGCATCCAAATGGACAGCAGAGGGCACTGCTGCTAAGCAGGACAGAGACACAGAAAATCACCAGCTCACACTGGGCTCCCTGGGAATGCAAGCTCCTTTCTAAAATGAACCACTTTGATAAACTGGGAGATTGGGATTGACATATATACGCTACTATATATATAACAGATAACTAATAAGGACCTACTATATAGCACAGGGAACTCTACTCAATACTCTGTAATGACCTATATGGGATCTAAAAAAGAGTGCATATATGTATAACTGACTCACTTTGCTGTACAGCAGAAATTAACACAACATTGTAAATCAACTATACTCCAATAAAACTTTTTTTTAAATTAACCACTCTAATGCTCTAATTTGAGGCTGCATGAATAATAACTCATGAGAATCAATTTTTGAAAAATTTGCTCTGATTTTTAAGGAAAATGAGCAACTTGTCATTGAACCTGGTGTGTCACTCAAATCCTTCTTTCCAGGAAGGAGGTTTGCTCATGTGAACTTCTACGGGTGGGGTACAGGACTTTTCCAGGTGGACACAGAAAATCAGGACACACAGCTGTTATAAACTTTGACCTTACCATTGAAGCCATCCTGATCCAGATCTCCCAAAGGGGCTATGGCACTGCCGAACCTTGCAAAGACCTCAAACCCATTCAGTTTGGTTGTCTGGAAGTCTCCTGAAGCTCTTTGCAGAGACACTGAGACCTGCCCCACCTCCTGGAGTTTGCCATCGGAACCACGATCCATGAAGAGAGGCGCTCCAATAAATACGTCTGCGTAACTAAAAAACATAACCTTTTTCACCAAAAGCAAGATCAAATTCCATTTGACTACTAATAATCATTTTCTTTCTTATTAAAACTCAAGTTTTCCTCTTTCTACAGCTCGTATAGCCACATTTGAAATGATCATTTCTAATTCAAGCCTTCCTTCAGCTCTTTTAAGAAACTATGAGTAATTCACAAAGTTACTTTATTCCTTCATATTATAAAAGCTATTGAAAGAAATTATTAACAACATAAAGGTTTTCTAGTATTTGTGATTAAGGTTGCTTCAAATCGGTTCCTTAAATAGAAAGATTAGCAGGAAGGGGAAAGAGAAACAGAAGAAAAAATGTTTAGTTTTAGTAAAGCGTTCATAAACACAGAGGAAAACTGTTTCTGGAAACATTTTTTTAAACTTACTCATCCCCATTAATGTCAGTGGCAGCGACAGAAAATCCAAAATATGCAGCCATCTGGATAATAAGATGAAAACGAAATGTTTACATTTCATCCAACTAGTTTAGACAGTTAATATTTGTTGTATATTTATGAAATAGAAAGGGTTATTTTTTTCTCTGCATATAGTATTTCAATCTAAATTTCTTCTTTTGTTTATCCTACCACAACAATGACAATCAGTTAATGAGGCTTGTATACTCTCCTAGATTTACTGGCAAGACATAGCACATGTATATCATTTTGGTGTCTTCAGCACACGCCATTTAAGTCCAAGTACAATCAAGCCTCCTTCCAAGGCCCCACCTACTGTCTCCCTTCCTCTCCACTAACCCAAAGCACACCAGACAAATACACTACCAGAAAGAGAGACAGTCACAAACAGACGTTTCAACTGAACCCAAGAAGTTATAAATGACGCCTATGCAGTAAAAATAATAAATAATAATTATTAGTAGGTCATAAATGGTTCTTCCTATGTGAAACCACTACAACTCTAAAGAAATTACTGTTCGGAAAGATAGAGACTGGAATTCATTTTTGTTTCACATCTCAATCAACTATGTGCCAGTGGTTTTGCTTTTGAATTACACACAGTACAAATGTACTTGGTTTTATCATGGGCTTGTTTTGCAGAGGGAGAAAGAATGTCCTCTCCCCACCACAGGAGACTGCTGGCCATCACAGAGCAGCCTGGCTGGAAATACATGTGAAAAAGGAAAGTTCTAAAGAGACTCTGACACACAAAACTAGGAGAGGTGACAGATTAAAGACAAACTAAAATGAAGGATGAGTCAACAAACCAAAAAAAGTAAAGTTAGCAAAGCTTCCAAAATTTGATTAGCTGAGCTATCAGGAGGGAATGATATGGGAGATTAATATGTTAATCTATTTTGAATTTATACAGTGTAACTGAGAAAATGAAAAGTGCAATCTGTGTTCAATCACAAGGTAATAAAGTGCATTGTATTTGGGGTACCATGATGAAGTGCTGACTGGAATTTAACAGAATACTATTGTTGGGCCTTGGTCTCTCAGGGCATCAGGCCTGAAACTGTAAAGAAAGGATGGCATTTACTGAGACAAGTCCTGGCCTGGGTATTATCACTAAAATATTTTCCTTTGATTCTCACCACAACCCCATGAGCAAGTTACCAGTATCCCTATTTTTATACATGAGCCACCAGATTTACAGTGGGAAACACCTTGCCCAATGTAGTAGTGAGTAGCGAGAGCCCACATCTGTCCTAATGGAAAGCCCGTGCTTCCCCCAACAAAAGAGCTGAGGAAGAACAGAGAAAGCATCAAGGATCAAGTACAACAAGATCCAGAGACACACGTGGTCATTGGACCGGAGAAGCTGCTTGAGGTGAAGAAGCCACAACAGCACAAAGGGACAGCCACCCCTGCCACAAGCCTAATGTCTGTCAACTGCAGGTGTCAACCCTGACCACCACACAAACGGGAAGAGGTCACTGAGGACCTCGGGTCTAGTTTCCCATCCTATCAATCCTCTCACAAAGCCCAAGAGAGTCAACTGAACAAGAAGTGGGCTTAAATCCCAGATCTGCAAACTAGGAGACGTTTTTTCTCTACCTATTGATTAATTTTTCCTTTATCATTACAGGCGTACCTCGGAGACATTGCAGGTTCAGTTCCAGACCACCACAACAAATCAAATAGCCTAATAAAGTGAGTCACACAAATTTTGGTTTCCCATACATATAAAATTGACATTTACACTATACTATATAGTCTATTAATTGTGCAATAGCATGATGTCTAAAAAAAACAATGTACATATCTTAATTTAAAAATACTTTATTGCTAAAAAAGACTAACCATCATCTGAGAACTCAGGGTTGCCACAAACCTTCAATTTGTAAAAAACGCAGAATCTATGAAGCGTTTTATTGTGAAAACACAATAAAACAAGGTATGTCTGCACTAACTTACCACTTCAATCTTTGAGTCATACAATACAGAATATTATAAAATGCCTGTAATTATAGAGAATGTCTAGTACTAAGTTTTAACTGCAGAATGTTTTATTTCTTGTAGCACAAATGAAGTTTACTTGTAATATCTATAGTAAACACATCTGGGCCATGCTTTGTTTTACATCTAATAAAATTAAAAGGCAGAGATCATTCTTTAAAAGATAATTTAATGTCATCAGCAAGGAAAAAGGAATTTTTTGGTTTTGTATGTGTGCAATTAGATTCTGCATTTCCTTTAAAAACAAAAGCTATTAGGGCAATTACAAGTCTTTACTTAAACAAATCACTTTGGTTAAAACAAAGGAGAAATATTTAAAGCTTATTTTATATCTATAATATCAAATATTAAACAGTTACTATATATTGAATATTAAACCATCAGAATATTACCAAGAAAAGTTTTAAAGACATTAGGAAGTGCTGGTGTTAAAATGTTAAGTGAAAAACAAAACAAAACAAAACACAACACTTTAAAAGCATACCTGTTCACCAGTAAAATTGTGTAAGGAGGACATATTTTTCCCATCATAAATATAAACCTGTGCAGGAAAAACAAAAGCATATGAAATAGAGTAAAATATAAAACAACCCAGATATTTTTAGAAAACACCTTTTAACTTTCCTACCATTCCCAAAGTCCTTGCTGCTCTTGGAACTCCTGAAACAAAGTCTGAAAAGAAAAAACTTAATTACTCATTTTTAAGGCCAGTATTGGCAACTACAGGAATAAGTGGTTATGTCAGAAAGCTTTAAGTATTATTTCAGTAGACAATGAGTAAGAGATTTTAAAAACTTGGTACTCCATAATAAATGACCCCAGCATTTTTTAACCACAAAATCAAATCTTTACGAAACATGGAAAGATTCTTGAGAACCTCAAATAAATGCATGTGTGCCCTCAAGGTATTCACAGTCTTGTGAAAGAGAAGAGACAAGAGAAAAGGGCTTAAGAATGAAGAAAAGCTAAACATACAGTAATGAAAGATAATTCAGAGCAAAGTGAAACAGGGTAGAGGTGGCAGTGGCACAGAAATGTGATCAAAATCAGGGAGAGTCTAGGATCCCCAGACTGAGCTCTGAAGATGAACAGAGAGAGGATGAGGTAACAGCCTTACTGACAGAGCTTGGAAGGTTACAAATTACGGGCCTGAAGAAAGAAGAAACTATTAAACTATGCCTCTCCAAGAGAACTGAATCCGCTGAAATCAAGAATGAAGGAGCTGAAGAAATAACTGAAGTGCTGGGGGCTGGAAAGGAGCAGACAAGAGGTCACTGAGGCCCTAAGCCCCCTTGGCTGCTAGAGAAAGTTTACCAGAGACCAAGTTCAATTTCAAAACTCTTTAATTGCTGAAAATTTTCTATGCCACTTGTTTCAAATGCTTAGTCTAATATTTTTTAAGAGGATTAAATATAGTTCAAGTGCATCATACCATCTATGCCATCACCGTTGAAATCTCCGACGGCCACTGAGTAACCTAAAGGGGAACCAAAGGTAAGACACCATCAGGGCAGGACTGGTTATCTTCAGCGTACTTGCTGACTAAGCTTTCCTGGAAAATATCTTCAAGTAATTCCTTTAATTATGTAATATTTTGTCCTCTAGGAGTAATAGATTCATATGTGTATGATAAATATATCTTAAAGAAAATAATGGAGTTAAATACTTAAACAGTATATCTCTGTTAGAAATATAAACCTGTTTTATCAACTTTACAAAGGAGTCAGTTAAAAACAGGGTAAATCTGCACTCATCATAAAGAAGCAACAAATAACAGGTTTTCTCAAACAGCAAAATACTATTTCTGTCGTGTATTATTTGGTTTAATGAATATGAGAAATTTAAAGAGAGAGAACAAAAGTTAATAAATCCTAAACCAAAGCTGTAGTTTAACATAGTGAATAAAAGTTCAGGAGTGAGACTGCCTGGGTTGGAATCTCAGAAAAGCAAGTTACAAGTGAGGGGCTTTAGGCAAATTATTTTGCCTCTCTGTGCCTGTTTCTTTATCTATAAAATGGGAGTAAAACATTAGTACACTTTCATAGACCTGTTGTGAAGACTAAATGAGTTAATACAAGTAAGCACTTAGAACAATGCCCAGGATGGACCAAGCATATCTTAAAGGTTATCTATTATTATTATCATTGTGTTAATAATCATGCTCTTAAATTTCAGTTACTGACACACAATATAACCTAAGTACTCATAACAAATATGTTCCTTATATTTTAAGAAAATCTTAATCTATTTCACATAAAAGATTTTCCTACTGAAAGCAGTATATGTAAATACAGGACAAATCCACCACAACACGAGAAAATGAATCCATATTTTGATTTTACCTACCCAAGTAACTGTCATCAAAAATAGCTTGTGCAGTCCGAGTTGCTAACTGGTTATTATACTTGATGCTATAAACTTTGGGGTCATATTTAGATACAATTTCTGCTATTTGATCTGAAATGAGCTGACCTGAAATAAATACATAAAATAAATTATAATTTGAAATGTGTGGACCTGAAAAAAATATATAAAATAAATGACAAGTTTCTAATGGGAACTTTATGACACAGATGATGGATAGCACCTGCATGAAAGAAAATAGATTAGATATGTCTTTCTAATTATTAGCCTTAAGTAACTCTTCTTCATAATATTAAATCTGAAATTTGATTAATTTTTAAGTCATAATTATTTCTATTCAAGCTACTACTTAAAATTAGTCTCTGCTAAAAAACAAAAATTTATAAATGCAGTATTAGTTTTAATTCACTAAAAAAAATCAATGTTAAATAAATGGAATCATAAAATCAAAGATTGTTTCCAAACCAAATTTCAAATTAGAACTTGAAAAATCTACTGAAATAATTACTTTTACCTTCATAATAATTTGTTAAACTGATTTTTTTAACAAGTTATTTGGACATTTTTATGAAAGCAGCCTGAATGAGTGAGTTCACTTTTCTTCCCAACCTTAAGTTATTAAGTACACAAGAAATTCAGACAACTACATAAAAATCGACTGCCTCCCTGCCCCAAGAAAGGTTGTTTGATTTATCAAATGCCATCTGCATAACATATGAAAAATAATCTCTTCATTTCTGCTATTTCAGAAAGAAAATCATAATAGCTAAAGATGTTAATCTTGTTCCAATTTTTCCAGTCACATAAGCTGAGTTTGTAGGGCAGAAACACTTTCTGTCTGGGTCACTACTTTACCCTCTGTGCCTAAACAGTACCTAACACATAGGAGGGATTCATTAAATATTTCTTGAATCAAAGAACACAGGAAAGTTTATCATGTCTTTGGAATAAAACACCATTATCATTTTCTCTATTCTTACAGAGACAATTCTGAGATCTATAGAAAAATTCATCCTAATATCTTACCTAGTCACGGTGAAACGTGCTGATTTTAATCTTATTAAAACAAAATATTCTCCGCCCAGTCACTGAGTTTTCAGTTACATATTATATACCATTTATAATAAATCTCTAATGAATATAATATTAATAGTATCTGTCCTAATTTATAATAAACAGGAATGCATACATTGTGCATGCTCAAGGTATTAAAAGAACAAGTCATTTAAACATGTTCACAGCTGTGTCTCTTAAAAAGGCAGAGTTAACAAAGAGTCCTGACTGAGAATCACAAAATCTATCTTTGGTTCCCTCACATGCTCATCAGACACTTCCCTCCCTTCCACTGAATGACTTACCTAGCAGTAAAGAAGAAAAATAAATCCATGTTTTATAGCTAATTAGAAAGCATTAATATCTATTTTCTTACATAGAGTCAGAACTGCTACTTTAATTTTTATTGTAAAACTGTAAATCTCAAGTATAATTTTCCTAAATCATTTCATTTTCTAATAGAGGTACAATTCATAGAAATTCAAATTTTTCACTTTTAGTATGTTTCTCATACTAATCCTCTTTGCCTGATTTTTCTTTTTCTCCTTTGCCATCCCTTCCAATTTTTCACTTATTCCCATTTCTCATTCCTTCTTATTTTCCTTCCATCCTGTTTTCCTTCAGCAAATCTCTTTCTTTAGTTTCCCTTTCTATAAAGCAAAAGCACGGGTTTTCCTACAAGGAAGCAAGTAAAGAAAGCAGAGTGCAGAATACAGAAGTAAAATTCAGAATCAGAAAGTACTTGCAAATCAATATAGTCATAGATTTTCCAGGTCTTCCAAATATTGACAATGCTTGAATAACAGAATCTGGTCAACGGCACTTTTTAGCAAAAATAAACATGTGACTATATTGACTAAATAAATGTGTCTCTAATGATAAATGAATCATAAACTAAGAAAATAAGCAGATATAGTTACCTATTTTCAAACTGTCAGAAAATAATGATCTGTTATACATTTGTTCACATGGTAATTTTATTAGTCCTCAGAAAATGACTAAAGAATGTAGTGTTTTATCTTTACATCAATCGCCAATGCCAGTTTAATATATTCTTTTGAAACTTAATAAGATCCTCTATTTAAAAAACTCCCCAAACACAAAGAAATCATTCTTGATGTCAGTGATTAATGAGAAAATAACCATTTAAATATTTTAATGTGCAAATTCAAATTAAGTTTAAAACCATGAGCTTTTGGAAGGCCACAATTTACCTATTACAAATCAGTTCCACACACTTTCTAACGCTTAATTACATCATTTCCTCTGAAGTACAGAGATGAAAAAGTACATATCATAAACAATAAAAATTATTTTAAATTATTTTATTAATTTACTTTATAATTTGCTTTTAAAATATTCAGTTTATTTTCTATTAGGAATATATATAATATACATTATATATTATGTTATATATTTATATATTTTACATACACCTTATATGATGTTATAGTCCTTTTTAAAAAAAACTGTATACAATTTTTATACAATTTATTCAAAGATAGTGATTATACATTTAAATTTTATTTTTCCATTTCTTTGTTTAAAATAATTTGAAAAGTCTCATAGGCACATGATAAGCCAGATGAGTCTGAAACACAGTCAATATTGGGTAGTTTTTAAAAGATTAACCTACCTTGCCAATAAAAGCTACCAGGACCACCAAGAAGTACTCTGTCAGCCTAGATTAAATCAAACAAAAAGATACATATTTTAAAACAGGTAGCTTTAAAAATGGAGAGCAATGTAATAAACATAAAAGCTACATATACAAGTATATATGTATATATGACATATATATGCAAATATTATATGCATATATTAAACATGTATATATTAAAGCAAACAAAATCATGTCTTAAACTCATCTAATTCAGTAATTTTCACTATACTTTTTCTAAAACACAATGCAATAAATATCAAAAAGGAAACTTATAATATATTCACTTAATATGTGAAAATATACAAACATATATATACATATAGATTCGTAGATCTTGGCTGCTTCACACACGCGGTATGAAGTGCCATCAGCATAGTATTATTGGTTACAGGAAGAAAAAAAGTCACTCCTTAATTCTGTATATTACCTTTGTGACTACATAGGCAAATTCCCTTTCTAATAATCATTAAAAATTTTTCAGCTAAAGGAAAACTTTTAGTGTCTTGCATATCTATACAAGAGTGAGGTTAGAGGGTAAATTTTTCAGGGTATATTATATATACAAATTATACTTGACTAGCATTTCTTACATCTGTAACAAACTGTAAGTATCTAATTCAAGGTAGTTAGTGTTTGAACATAATATTTTTAAAATTTCCTCTTGCTGGAGGTTAAGAGAAAATTTTTCTCTCTCCAAATGGACATATAGCCTTTCAAGCTTTCAACAACCTCTGGCCATGGCTAAAAGATGGTAAAAGATATTTCTAAGTTGTCTGCTTTAAAATGACACCATTTTTCAGAAATGAGTTGAAGAAAGCAAACAGTTAATATAGCAATGACTGTTCATAGTATGGGAATATTTCTGGGGTTATAGTTGTACTGGCATAAGTACAGAAAATAAGGACACTTTTTGCTTTAATACAACACCAATTTGAAAACACATCATATGAGTTGAAACCTAATATGCATTAATATACTTTACCTCTCTTTGTTTTGCTTCCTTAAATTTTAAATTATAAGTAATTATGAATAAGTTTTGAATTATGAATTTCAAATTGAGTGAATTAAAATCAATTACTTAATAAGGAGAGTCAACTATAATTACCAGTACCTAATCTAGAAAAAAATTTTAATACAGATAAAACACAAATTTAAAAAAATAAGAAAATGCTTTATTCGTTTTTCTGAATCATGATTATAGTTTCTGTTGTTTTAACAAATTTAAGGCACTTCTGTTTGCATTTTCTAAGAAAGCCATACTAAGCTTTCTAAGGAAGCTCTACTTTTAACCAAGCAGTGTTTTTTGAGACTTCTCTAGGAGTAATTACTCTAGGAGTAATTAATAGTCTCAATTTGATATTCAAAATGTTCATATATCCCCCACAAAAAAAAACCCACACACACACAAAAGAAAATTACATAAAGAAAAGTACTTAAGAAAAATTTCCTTTGAAAATATAAATGGAATTCTTATTTTTAAAAAATAGCTTAAAAACTATCAACTCTAGAGAGCATATCAGCTTAGTTAAAAATACATAGAGCCCTGTATATGAGATTTCTTACAATAATTAAATTGCTTCAACTTTACTTGTTGCCTGTAGGCACATAATAGATGGTAAATAAGCATGTTTTTCAACTTTTATGTAACTAAACTCTGATTTTGTAAGAAAGCTCCCATTGCTAGCTTTTACAAAAACTCAATTTCAGTCAAAAATAGAAAGGTTTAGGGCTTCCCTGGTGGCGCAGTGGTTGAGAGTCCGCCTGCTGATGCAGGGGACACGGGTTTGTGCCCCGGTCTGGGAAGATCCCATGTGCCGCGGAGCGGCTGGGCCCGTGAGCCATGGCCGCTGAGCCTGCGCGTCCGGAGCCTGTGCTCCGCAACGGGAGAGGCCACAACAGTGAGAGGCCCGCGTACTGCAAAAAAAAAAAAAAAAGAAAAATAGAAAGGTTTAATAGTCTATAGATTTATCCAACTGGAAATTCTAATATTAATATTAAGTCATAACAGCTATCTATCTTCTACTCAGGAGATTTTCTACTGTCTTTCATTCCATTTTGATGCCTATTTCAAACAAGCAATGTCTCCTAAGGAGAGAATAATATAAAGCAACGGATATCAAAATGCATGGGTCATTTTTATTGGCTGTTTTCATAAAACAGGTAATAGTTATAGAGAATCTGAAGTATTAACCAGTTAATTTTTAACCATGGCTTAGATAATAAGGTAGATCTGAATCTCACTCAGTCTTAAATGAGAACTTACTTTAGTAAAATCAATGCTGAATCCTCCTTGACAAAATCCCTGTCCATCAGCATCAATATTTTCTAAAATAAAAAGATTGGAAATATACACAAACCCCAAAACAAACAACACAAAACAAAACATGAGAAAAATCTGATATCACTCTAACTGTAAGATAATGTACTAGTCTCTGAGAGTGTTCATTCACTCAGGCACTTAATGAGTTATTAACACATTCTAAAAAAGTTAGTATGGGGCTTCCCTGGTGGCGCAGTTGTTGGGAGTCCGCCTGCCGATGCAGGGGACACGGGTTCGTGCCCCGGTCCGGGAGGATCCCACATGCCGCGGAGCAGCTGGGCCCACAAGCCATGGCCGCTGAGCCTGCACGTCTGGAGCCTGTGCTCTGCAACGGGAGAGGCCACGGCAGTGAGAGGCCCACGTACCGCAAAAAAAAAAAAAAAAAGTTAGTATGCAAGTTTACCAGCACCCATTAATCAGAAATGGCAACAGAGAGAGATGAAAGTACCTGGACCAGTCAGCAGGGGACAGAAAGATCACCTAAGATGGTGGATTTCAAACTTTTTATTTTTAACCACAACCCACAAGATTATAGTTTATATCACAGCCCACACAACCCAACATACACACATTATATTTCATTCCATTTTTTAAAAATTACTGGTTATGACTCATACTTTGATTTCATAAAACAATGATGAGTTGTAATCTTTGAGTTAAAAAACTCCAATCTGAAATTTCTATTTCTTACTATTATTCTCCTACAGTTGTTAGGTCTTCACTAAGTTATTATGAATACTTAAAGGAGATACCTACATTCCTGATACATTTCCTATATATACATTTATATACAACAACAACAACAAACCTGAAAAAAAGTAGTTCAGAATTTGGGGAGATGGCCACACCCTAATTTAATATTCTGCAATGAGCAAAATACGAAAACTACTCTCACAACACATTTAGAAAGTCAACTTTTTTAAACATGACACTTTTAAGTATTCTCCAAATGATAATAGACTCAATTGTTTTACTCCTTTATACTCAATTATTAAATTGGCCAATAATATTTAACTCTTATTAATAATAAATTAACTCTAATCATGAGTAATACTGTACCCAGAAGTAACAGTGAGCCTGAAGACTCTTCCTTGTTTTATTTTGAGGATAATAAGCAACAATGAAAAACAGCTGCTCTTCAGTCATCAAGGAATTCTTGTAGTCAATGTCACAATAGCTAAATAATTTTGCTATAGTATTCCTGTATTTGCCACCCAAATACAGGAACCAAAAATATCTACTTTCAGTCATGAGGACAACTCGCAAGAATTTTTGTCAAATACTCCCATCTAAAATTTTGAACGCGTTTTAAAACCTGGGAACTGCCCCAAGATTACACACTTAATATCTAAATTTAGAAATTTTTTTAGAAAATAGCCTCAAGAGTATAATGCAACCCCAATGTAAGTTTTTCTAACCAAGAGGCAATGGGAAAATGCAGGGCTGGGGCTCCCAGTGTCTAGTGAATCATACTAAGGAATTCTGCTCTGACCTCAAGTCAGCCGTTTATTTCCTTTATTCGAGTTGCATCTGGGGAACTATTTCAAGCTATTTATAAAGACATCCTTTTTTGATTATCATACTGTACAATTATCTACTTTATTTGGTTTCCCAGAACATCCAGCTAGAAACATAACCGTCCTTTAAAATTTTAACAGGTACCTATTAAACAGTGCGAATGTAAAGAATTTTATGTTGACTATAATCTATTTCAGTGAAGGCTTTTGTTTTTATTTCTATGGACAATTAATATTTCTGCTATTTGTTAAGCCTGACAATATTATAAATAATGTTATTGTTTATGATAGTAAGAGCAGCTAATGTTTATTAAGCCCTTACTGTGAGCCCAGTACCATACTAAAGCATTTAAAATCTTTTAAAATCTATACAGCAATTCTATGAGAGACACTATTATTAGTCACAATTTACATATAAGAAAACTGAGGCTCACAGAAATTAAGGAACTTGACTATGGTAAACCACCCAGTAAATGAAAGAGCATGGATCTGAGGTGAGGAGTGTCTACACCACTAGGCTGCACTATCTCAAGCCAGCAGTGCATTTATAATTCCCTAAGCAACCATCAAGGGGAAGAAAAAACAAACTAGAAATCACAACTGAGAAAAATCTATATGCAAATAACATTATCATCAGAAAGTAGACAGAAAGAACAAAGACTCAGTCTGAGCATGGAGATGAAAGAGTATTTAAATCATATGATTTGTGGTTCAGGCACTTTTAGAACAGAAAGACATTTAGCCTATTGTATAATGCCAAGAATGGTCATAGATACAGTAATGAGAAGCCAAAAGCAAACATAATCAGTAACAAGGTAAACTTTTATAGAGTGACGTTCCACAGATCCATATAGGTCACATTAAAAACAAAAGCATGAGGTGGGTGGACCCAGAGTCTGTCATACAGAGTGAAGTAAGTCAGAAAGAGAAAAACAAATACCGTATGCTAACACATATATATGGAATCTAAAAAAAAAAAAAATTGGTTATGAAGAACCTAGGGGCAGGACAGGAATTAAGACACAGATGTAGAGAATGGACTTGAGGACACGGGGAGGGTTAAGGGTAAGCTGAGAGGAAATGAGAGAGTGGCATGGACTTATATATACTACTAAATGTAAAATAGATAGCTAGTGGGAAGCAGCTGCATAGCACAGGAAGATCAGCTCAGTGCTCTGTGACCACCTAGAGCGATTGGGAGGGTGGGAGGGAGACGCAAGACGGAGGAGATATGGGGATATATGTATATGTATATGTATAGCTGATTCATTTTGTTATAAAGCAGAACCTAACACACCATTGTAAAGCAATTATACTCCAATAAAGGTGTTAAAAAAAAGAAAGCAAACAACAAACAAATGAACAACAACAAAACCCACAAACTACTACCACCAAAACAAGCAGTTATCAAGAAGTTGGCAATGTAGCCCTACAAAACTGGCAGCCTCGTGTAAAATCAGCCATTGGGTTACACAATTTATTGAAGTATGAAAAAGACATAAAATACAAAAATTGCATCTCTGAAGTCTTTTGCCTAAATCAGCATTTTACAAGTGATGAATCACCCATGACTATAGATATACAGGTTGTTGGCAGAGTGCAAGAATATAACCCAAGTTCTGAGATTCCCACTCTTGAGCGTTCTTCTCTGGGCAGGTTGCCCCTTGCACTTTGGGCTGCAGGTAGCTTAATACTTCAAAGGTTGAGCCCTAAAGTACATACAATGATCAAGAGATACTGAAAGCCAGCTTATTAGGAAGAAAGGCATTCACTTTGATATTTTTAAGATTGTTCTCTCTGCTTTTTCTAATATTTGAGGTATTACTATTGAGATCGGGGATCAGCAAACATCTTCTGTAAAGGGCCAGGTAATAAATGTTTTAGGCTTAGGGGCTATACAGTCTCCGTGGCAAGGACTCAACTCTCCCTTTATAGATAACATGTAAACAAATGGGTGTGGCTATGTTCCAATAAAACTTTATTTACAAAAACAGACTCACAAGCCATAGTTTGCTGATCTGACTTGGATGTTAAATACTTCAGAAAATAAGGTTAAAATGTCTGTGCTTAAACCAAATAAGTGAAAGCATTATGAGCAGCTACATCACGCAGTCTTAATCCTTTAAATACATGTTAAGAAGAGAACTGTTCGTTACTGAAGAGGCAAAATGATGAAAAATACTAGCTGAACATGGCAGTATATCCTCAAGGGATCATCGTTAGAATGCTTGTTTTCAGAAGGGTTCTTGTCCTCTTACATCAGGAATTATACAAACCTGCACTTTTTTCTTTTTTTTTTTAAAGTGTTTCCCTTGTAATGTTTAGCAATTTTCATGACATGTGAATAGTATTCTAAGCTGTTAAATGGTAGAATGGGAGCTGCCTTGTCCTGTGACTATTATTTTTTTTTTTAATAAATAAATTTATTTATTTATTTATTTTTGGCTGTGTTGGGTCTTCGTTTCTGTGTGAGGGCCCCCTCTAGTTGAGGCGAGCGGGGGCCAGTCTTCATCACGGTGCACAGGCCTCTCACTATCTTGGCCTCTCTTGTTGCGGAGCACAGGCTCCAGACGCACAGGCTCAGTAGTTGTGGCTCAAGGGCCCAGTTGCTCCGCGGCATGTGGGATCTTCCCAGACCACGGTTCGAACCCGTGTCCCCTGCATTGGCAGGCAGATTCTCAACCACTGCACCACCAGGGAAGCCCCGAACCTGCACTTTTGAAAGCAGTATTCTCTGTAGAAAAGTTGTGCTTAATACAGAGGAAATAGAAATGGAAAACATTTTCTATTGTTAGTAATACAGGGAAAAGATTCCTTTGGAATAAGACAGACCTGGGTTAAAATCCTCATTAGATCACTCACTACCATAAGATGTAGGAAAAAAATGACTTCAATTGTCTGGATCTCAGTTCCCACATGTATCAGAAAAGAGTAAAGGTGATTTTACAGGTGTGTCAATCACATAAACAATAGGTTACAAGCCTGGCACATAAGGGTTAGCTCATCCTTCAGAGCTACGAAATTATCTTCTCACCATAGGAACATTTTTGCAATACAGAAATTAAAAACACAAATTTAGTCCTCACATTTTCCACATGCCACCAAAGACAACAGTACTATGACCAAAACACCAATGAGAAGGTGGTGTAGTCAGACACTGAGGATAAATCTGCACACCTCCTCCATTCTCGCAGGGTGTGCTTTCTGACCTACTCTAATAAAGTCGTTATGGGTACGTATCATTCTTTTCATGTTTACCTCCCACTTACAACAAGTAGGGCCAGGGCAGTGGGCTAAGAAATAAGTGTTTAATGAAATCATTTTGCAATTTCTCAGAGGTTCAACTGCTTAGAATTTTGAAGACTAAATAGATACTTTGGTGTCACAAGTTACCTAACATGGAAAAAAAGTCTAGCAATAAGAGTCTTGCATGTTGTACTTTTGTTATTACTTCTCTTTACTACACTACCTGGTGACCAGTGGAAGAGAAAAAGTAATGACCTAAAAAGTGCTCCAGGTATAAACACCACACTGCATTTCAAGAAGCTATTTTTATGTTTCTGATATAAAGAGGATCTGGAGTGGTGGCCAATTCAACAATAGTGGAGAAGCAAAAGGACTGCAATCTCCAAGAAGGAAAAAGTATACAGAGTTTGGAAAAGCATAATCAGAATTACAAGTGCTCACAATCATCTTTAGTCACAATATAAATTTCATTGGAAATTTCAAATAATATTAGAGAACAGGGTGAGATCTTTTAGATCAAGAGGAGTGAGCTTAGTCGACAGACTGACAAAGAGACTGATTAAAAGCAAGGACATTCAGACTCCGACTCCTGAGCCCAATGTTTCACCTTCCTATAAAAACTCTGGCTCCTTATGACAATTATTTTTTACTTTTAACATCATTATTAATATAGAGCTGCAGTTCTCAAATTTTGGTATCCATCAGAATTACCTTGTAGAGTCTGTTAAAAATGAAGGTAGCTAGGCCTGACCCAGATCTGCTGAATCAGAATCGTTAGCTGTGGGGTCTGCATCTCTGTTAGAGAAGCTCAAGGGAGCACCTTTTGACTAATAGTGACTAAAAATGCAGATTTCCAAAATCAAATATTAATTATTACTGACCAAGGAAGATGAAAACTAGTTCTTAGGGAGAAAGATAAGCCTGTTGACTGCATATTCTAAATTTCTTTACATTAATAAAATTGCCTTCATTTTGCTGTCATCAAATAGCACCATATGTCTACAAATTTTAACACACACACACACACACACACACACACACACACTTTTTTAACAGCCTAGGCTTCCCAAACCTCTTTGTAAAAGCTGGTCAATTTCCTATACATACTTGATCTGCATGGAGCATACTCAACAGTCTTTGTACCATCCTGAAGAAAGCATGTTCCAACAGGCTCTCTCTCCTGTTTCATTTCAGTCCTCCAGTGGTACAGTGGGGCACAGGCCTGAAACCAAAGGGGGTAGTCCACACATAAAAATTCTCTGGAAAAAAATTAGTGTTTCATATAATCTATACTACCTCAGATTACAATATCCCTTTATAAGCATTTATAAAAATTAATCAAACCTTTCCTTTACCTTAAATTCCTTATCACAGTAGTGGATAAAGATTTTTAAAGTACTCTTTTCATATGCTTCTAAAGGCCGTATTTGGAGTCTAGGTTTTTTTTTTTCCAAAATAGCAAAATCATTATTTTGAGTAGCACCTTTCTTGACATTAGGTGCTAAACTGAAGGGCACAGACCAAATCAATATTTAACTAAATAACACTCTCATGTGTGTAGAATATATCCCTAAGTTATAAAGCAAATAATTTATCAAGTAAGAAGAGAGTAAAAGAATTTGCAGTGCTTATTTTATTTACTTTGCAAATAAACTATGACCTTTTTGCTTTCAGAGTTATAGACTTCAACACCATGTAAAAGTGGTAGAATGCATGTTTTTTAACAGCATAGTAATCTACCAAAGTATAACAATTTAATTTGCTGGAAAAAAATTCAATGAATTTTCTCTAATATCCTTTGAAGCAAAACATTTTAATACAAACACTACAGATAACACAGGGCTACTTTATATTTACCCTAAAAACTTAAAGTAAGAAATCACTGCCACTTCTCTACATGTACCTGATGCTCCAGAGTGGAGTATTTGCCACTTCTGCATATTTTTGCTTCTTTGTACCGCCTTCTGCCTAGAATGCCACCATTCTCAACCTCTCCCTTCAACTCCAATTGCTAAAATTTGACACATCCTTTGAAGCTCTGCCGAAATTTCACTTCCTAAACAAATCCTTCCCTGATGCCCCACAATCCGATGGAAAAAAGAAGAAAATAATAAATACTATGCAAGTAGTTAAAATAGGGAAGGGCTCTCTGAGGAAATGAAAGTAGAGCTGAAATCAGAATGACAAGGAGCCAGCCCAAGTGAAAAGCAGTAAGATGAGCATAAGATAGGCAGAGGGACAAACACTAAGGATCTAACTGAAATGACTTGGTATGGAAGGAATAAAAAGACTAGTATAGCTACACATGTGAGGTGGAGTGAGATTATACCAAAGAGAAAGCAGCTGGTGACTGGATTACACAGATACTTATAAAAACCAGGATGAGCATGAGATTTTTACCCTGAGAGTGATGAAAAGCTGCTTCACTGTTTGAATCAGGCAGGTGAAATGCTCTGGTTCACTCTGGTCCTTCTATAAAGAATGGGTTGTAGCTGGGGCAAGAGAGGAAGCAGAGGGATGAGAACAGCCACTGCACTGACCCAGGTGATGAACGACGGTGGCTTGGTACAGGGTAGAAATAGTGGAGATGATGATTTACTGAGGGCCGTGGGATATATTCCGGAAGCTGGAGACAGAACTGACAGGGCTTGCTGGTGGATGGGGTAGAGAGTCGTGCCTCTAAGATGGGGAAGTTTATACGGAAATACTTATTTTTGTGGTTTTTCCTTTATGATGGAGGGTAACAGTTCCATTTTGGTCCACATTCATTTTGAATAATATATGAGATATACAAATGGAAATGTCATATTGGTAGTTTGGAAATACAACCTCTAAAGATCCAAGGAGAATTAAGAGCTAGAGCTATAGATTTGGGGATTATGATATATAGATTGTATTCAGAGCCACAGGATAGGATAGGAGCAGCTAGGTAAAAGGTGTAGTTGAAAAAGACAAGGGCCCAGAACAAAGCTCAGAGACACCTCAACATTTAGAAGCTGAGCTGAAGCAGAGCTATTAAAGGAGATGGCAAAAGAGCGACCAGCGGTAAAGGGGAAAACCAGAAAAGTACAGAGTCCCAGAAGCCAAGGAAAGAAAAGTATTTCAAAAAGCATGGGTCAAATGACCTTGTTGAATGGTTTTGAGGGGGCAAGAAAAGTATTCTTGACCTGCAAGTCAAGGATGACCTTGCCCATGCCTACCTGAGCCTGACAGGAGGGGTTGGGAAGAGGATGGGAAGTGAGGAAGTGGAGATGGTTACTATAGAAACCACTTTCAACAAGTCTTTGAAAAGGGGAGCAAAGGAAGGGGACTATAGCAGAGGGGACGATGAGGCAAAGGCAGGGTGTTTTATTCGTAAGGAGAGGAGGTACTAGGGCATTTGATTAATCAAAGGCACACTATTCCTAAACCTGGCTGGATAGAAACAAACTGATGGGAACCATCGAGCAGGGCAAAAAAAATGAACAATGTAGGAATGAAGGTGAAAGTAGCAAAAGCCAAGTCTGTGAAGGGTGAGAGGGTATCCTTAGAAGCGGTGGCCTTTGATCAGAGCTAAGTTATCCAATTAAACTCTCTGCCCTTTAGCACACTGAATTTTACTATCAGCTTTCAAGCATAAAACTTCCTGTGTTCCCACATAAATTGACTAAAGTTAACTTATTAAATATCTAAAACACTTACCAAAATTTTATCCTGTTTTGACCTCACAGATGCTCCAAACCACTGATGGGACTTAAACTCCAACGGATCATCCTTGGCATAATCTCTATTGCCTAAAATAAAATTAAATTAAGTTTAAAAATAATTTAAAAAAAAAACTGTGAGGGGTGAGAAACAAAATATTCTTACTTAGTATAACATAGTTTCTTTCGATCCAACCAGGTTTATAACTAGTGTGCCTTTGATTAATTAAATAGTACACTGGCTATTTATCTCATATACTTTACACACATTGGGGATTTTCAACTAATCAGAAAAAATAAAATACAGGATGACTTAGAAGTGTCTCAGATTTGTTATTAATCCTACCAATTATCATAATGCAGAAGTGAAAAAGTAACAGTATGTGAAATTTTCCAGTTGCTAAATTGTAAGAAAATTAACTATTAAACACTTATGATTACCTTCTGTACTCCCAGAAGTTCTTTCTGTGGCATGAAGATATTTACAAAAATAGAAGGCTATGAAACACCTTTACAGAACACTAGCTAACACTTAGTCAAAGACTAAAGACTTAGTAAAACACTTAGCTAACACTACACTAACACTTAGTAAAAGACTAAGATCTTACCAATGACATTATAACGTGAGTCAGAATCCAGAACACATGATTTGGCTGGTTGGAAAAAGAATTCGATTTGGCACACTACATGCAAACACTTATTTTTCAGCCTACATTATTGAGGAAATTATTCCTGATATACCAGGCACTCACGTAAAGCACTGTAGATTTAAAAAGATAAAGATAAAAATCTTTTCCATGAGAAAGCTCTTGATCTGTTCAATGAAAAAATTACAGAAATATACGCATAAGGTATTTGGGGAAGGAGAGACTGTTTTTAAAGTCCAGTCTGTTCCTCTTAAAATCTGTTTATAATAATTATTCCTTATAAACATATATTTCAATAACTGTATTGGACAAATACATCAGACAAGTGTCAATTTTAAGAATGCCAGCCAACATATTAATATCATCAAAAGGTTTGGTTAAATCTACTCCCTAAACCCCACCCATCTAAGGTAGTGCTTATGGTTATTCAATTCCATTCTGAGGACTTAAGACCAATTGAAGAGTTATATATAATTAATGATCATTTCAATAATGCCAGATGTCATCTAGGCAAGATGCAAGGTGTTAACATATTAGTTGTACTATTCTTTGAACATTTTCATTGTTTTGCAAAAAAAATTTTAATGTGTCAATTTCCAAAGTCCTCTATCTGTAGTCTAAACACCACTCACTGTTTTTTGTCAGTGGTCACAAAGGCACCATTTACTAGTAAAGGGAGGGAGGAAGGAGGAACAAACTAGCTAGTACATGCCTTTTACCATGTGAATCAAGGTTTCCCAACAGTAGCTGGCTTGCCTTTGAAGCCTATGTTCACATGCCGACCTCACACATCAGTGAACTATAGATCACCTAACAGTTCACGTGCTCCCTTACATTTCGCATCCTCCCATAGTTAGGTTAAAGCCACATAACTCATTTTTATCTATAAAATGAGTTCTGCTAAGAGCAAAAGTGGCATGTGTCCCTTCCAATTCAAGTCAGTTAAGAGTGGATATGAGCTCAGTAGTCATCAAGGAAATGCGAATCAAAACCACAATAAGATATCATCTCATATCAATTAAGAAGGCTATTATCAGAAGATGTGGAGAAAAGGGAACCCTGATAACACTGTTGGCTGGCAATGTAAATTGGTGCAGCCATTATGGAAAACAGTAGGGAGGCTACTCAAGAAATTAAAGACAGAACTAGTGTATGATCCAGCAATCCCACTCCAGGTATATAGCTGAAGGAAATGATACCACTACCTTGAAGAGATCTCTGTACTCCCATGTTCACTGAAGCATTATTCACAATAGTCAAGGTGTGAAGCAACCTAAATGTCTATGGTCAAGTGAATGAAAAAAAGAAAATGTGGTATATAATTAAAATGGAATATTATTCAACCTTAAGAAAAGAAATCCTACCACGTGCACCAACATGGATGGACCTAGAAGACATTATGATAAGTGAAATAAGCCAGACACAGAAAGACAAACACTTCATTATATCACTTATATGTGAAAAAATCTCAAATTGTCATTTCATTTTAAAAAACAAAATAAAACAAAAACAGTGGATAGGTATTCTCCATGTTTTCTTTCTCCCAGCCATGAGGTTGAAAGAATAGATGGTGTGGAATCCCTTAAGGAAGCAGCCTCAGTCCAAGTTTCTAAACCACCAAGAATAGCCAAATGACCCACACAAGATGATGACATGAGCAAGAAATTATCCTTTTTTAAGTGATTGAGACCTGGGTATTTGTTTGTATATTAAAAAACAAAACCATGTTGCTACTGCAGTATAGCCTAGCACAGTTTGAGTAATATATGTTCTAAAAACAAAATGCTATATCCAAAATGGACTAACCTACAACTACAAAGAAGCTCAGCCCTTGGAAGAACTGGATTCAATTAATAGTTTTTTCAAGGATTTTAGCCATAAAATATATGCTTACAAGTTATTTAATAGGATTTTTAAAAAATTCCACTGCAAGCTAACTGTGTTCTCTCACTGTTTTACTGGCTTTCTATTCTATTCTTTTCTACAGAGGAAATAAAGGCACTTTCCCCCCTTACATTAATGAAGCAGGAGAAATACAGTATGACAGTGAAACAGTCAGTGCTTGGAGGGATTCACTTCTATTCATTGTCCCTTGAGACCATAAGCATCATGATAAACTCAGGTAAGCTTAGCCTGAGGGAACTGACTTTATGATCTAATGTATCTGAACAAAAAGTACAGCATTCTCACAACTGCTACCTCCTGCTTCTGCTTTCATTTAAAACAGCCTTTTCAGCAAGACCCTAGAGATGTTAAAGCAGAAGCAAAACTTTTCTATATTAGAGGAAATCTTCCATGAACGAAAGTATCATATTAGAGAGGTGGTACTCAAATTAATTTAAGACTCCATGTATTTCCTCACACTCTAAAACTTCGATTCAGAAAAAAGAGAGAGAGATGTAGGGACTTCCCTGGTGGCTCAGTGGCTAAGAATCCACCTGCCAATGCAGGGGACATGGGTTCGATCCCTGGTCTGGGAAGATCCCACATGCCATGGAGCAACTAAGCCCATACGCCACAACTACTGAGCCTGCGCTCTAGAGCCCGTGTGCCGCAACTACTGAGCCCGCATGCTGCAACTACTGAAGCCCACGCACCTGCAGCCTGTGCTCCACAACAAGAGAAGCCACCGCAATGAGAAGCCCATGCACCGCAACGAAGAGTAGCCCCCACTTGCCGCAACTAGAGAGAGCCCGTACACAGCAACGAAGACCTAACACAGCCAAAGATAAATAAATAAATAAATAAATAAATTTGTTAAAAAAAAAAAAAAGACACGCAGACCCAACATCACTATATTCTTACCAATACAATATTCCTGCCTACAAGACACCTGGTATAGTTTCCTCAAAAATGTCAATGTCGGGCTTCCCTGGTGGCGCAGTGCTTGAGAGTCCGCCTGCCGATGCAGGAGACGCGGG